AGGCACATTCCATGGTGCATCCAGCTGCAACCTCTCCACACAGCTGACCCTTCTGACAGTAACCTCACTTTTCATCTATGTTGTGTGCATCTCTGCCCAATGCACATTACATTTGATGTAACTTGTAGATTTTGTTGCCTTTATTTTACTATTGTTTTCTAAATGTATAGGATTTCTAATGATTAGAAATCCTATTAATTTTTCTAAGTAGATATTTGTATTACTTGAATATTATGATAGTTTTCTTTTTTACAGTCATTTCATTTTCTTGTCTTATGGCCTTGATGCTATCCTTTTTATCTTTTTGTTAATCCTTATCCAAGGATATTTTACCATTGATCTTTTAGAGGGAGTGGAAGACAGAGGGAAAGACAGAGAGAAATTCATCAATTGGTTGCCTCCTGCATGAGCATGACCAGGTCCCGGACCAGGGAAGAGCCTGCAATCAAGGTGACATGTCCTTGACCAGAATCGAACCCTTTGGTCTGCAGGCCAACACACTATGCATGAAACCAAACTGGCTAGGGAGATGCTATCCTTTTATATAATGTTATTTAATAAAGTGATAAAACTCAAAAGATACAAAAAGATGTACAGTGAAAACTGTGTCCCTCTTCTGTCTCTGAGCCCAGCATCAAGAGGCTGCTCTTTTAGATGCAACAAGTGCTTCCAGATGCTGCCACTTGGCAGCGACCTGTCCCCTTCTCACTCATTTGCATTATCTGCCTGGCCTTGTAGGTACTGGGTTTGCATCCCAGCCCATTTACTGCACCTATTCTGCATTCCCAAAGCAGTTGGCAGACTATTCGCACTTTCACAGTGACTTCTTTATAGGTCTCCCTTCTAGGCTGGGAGATTCACAGATCCATGAGGTTAGTATCTATATCCTCTTTTTAGTATCTATAATATATCCTACTTCCTAGGTTACTATTAGATAGATAGAGATGTACAGGTTTGCTGAGTGAATTAATAAATTAACAAACTGTGTATTATTTTCAGGGTCCTGGCCTGAGGTGTGACTCAAATAGCAAGTTAGTCAGGTGAAATCACGAATTTAAATCCCCTAAGGATCCCATCAGAGAGCCCCAGTCCACCTTGTAATTGGTTTCCCCAAAACAGAATAGGCCCCTCAGATTCAAACTTCTCGCCCTTTCTCCTAAACTCTGCCACCCACTAACGGCCTGAATTTCTACCACCCCACTTCCCAAATGAGTTTCCAATCATTACAGAGATACAGACAGCTGAACTCAGATGGGACATGAGGAAGTTACAAAGCACTGAGAAAACTTACAAAATATTTATGGTTCTTCTTTCCTACTATCATTCTGAGAAGAAGTCCTACTGTCCCCTCAGTTTTGAAATATGTTAGTGACATATTTTGATTGTGACATGCCTTCTGAACAGTGGGTCACCCGCGGTCCTTAAATATCTAAATCCTCAAAGAGCACTGCCATCTTCATTTTGTATAGATATAGTTATTTTCAAGGGCAAGAGTCACAACAAAATAGAAACAGTGCACGTATTGCCACTTATAGGTGTAAAATGTATCACTTGAACCATGACTCAAATAAATGAAAAAGAAATTTATTGCAATTCCCTTCCAAACCTCAACTCCATTACTACCACATTATTTGATGAACAGGATTGCTTTTGTGTTATTATTCAGGCCCTCAACTAACAGCTAACATGAGCTAAAACATTATTTACATTTGCTTCACCGCAACGTCCCAAGATTCCAAAATGTTTTTTTTTAATATATTTTTATTGATTTAAGAGAGGAAAGGAGGAGAGGAATGGAAACATCAATGATGAGAGACAATCACTGATTGGCTGCCTTGTGCACATCCCCACCGGGGATTGAGCCCATGTACGCTTGACTAGGATCAAACCCAGGACCTTTCAGTTCATAGGCTAATGCTCTCTCCACTGGGCCAAACCAGCTAGGGCAATGTTATTATTTTTTAATACTTTATTTGTTTACATGTCTCAAAAATTAAAACTACATAAAAAATGCTAAAAAATAATTATCTCTCAGCCCTGCATTCATCTCTTCCTCTATACCCTACCTCTTTGTATTCTCCTAGTAGTTCACTTTTAAGACAGATTTATTGAGATACTAGTGGCCTGGTGCACAGATTTGTGTATATTGAAAGGAAATTAATTAGAAGAAATATTTTAATATCGCTATTCGCCCTCTCTATAAGTGTCAGAGATGAAAGAAAATTAGTAAAATGTATATGAAAATAATATATAAATAATAAACAATAGGATATAACAACAAAAACATATAAAAACAAAAACATGATATAAAAACCGATAAAAACAATGACTGATAAATTGATTAAACTTATTCTAATATCTCTCTGTACATCACAAACACTTTAGGGTGCTTGACTAATTTCCCTTGTGATGAAGTATTTACAACTTTAATGTCACATGCTCTTCGAACTTGAGAGAAAGCAACATATAACTGATCATGTCTGAAAACGGATTCTGATAGGAATATTCCTACTCTATCTAGAGTTTGTTCTTGTGATTTATTAATAGTCTTCACGAATGCTGGCATCACAGGAAACTGTATTTGAATTAATTTAAATGGGAGGCCAGTGTCAGATGGGGACAAATCAATTCTTGGAATAGGAACAACCTCTCCTTCCGCAGATCCTGTTAATACTTCAGCTTTGATTATGTTAGGTCGAAATCTTGTGATAAAAACTAATACCATTATAAAGACCCCATTTACTATTAAGATTTCTCAGTAGCATGATGATTGCACCTACTTTCAATTTTAATGTATGACAAGGCATTCCCGAAGGAGTAATACTATTAAGAAATTCAATGGGAAAATTTTCCTTTTTGGCATCATCTATTGAATCGATGGAATCATCCCTCAAATAGGTGTGAAAATCTCCATCAAGTATATCCAAAATTTCTTCATTAAATTTATGAACATGGTCATTTTTAGGACAAAGAATCACATGTTTAGATATATTTTTAGTACTACCTATAGATATACTATTTCCAAAGGTAGCTTCAATAATAGATCCATTACAAATCATTTCACGGGGGATTTCAATAATATCCATCCTAAATAATAAAAAGGTAATAATAAAATAGTCTGAATGTGGAAGGACAGGTTGCTTGACACTCATTGACCACCAGGGGGGCAGACATTCAACACAGACGCCAAGCTTATGGCTAGAAAGTGCAGCAGAGATAGTGGGAGGCACTCTCACCTCTGCCGCAGCGCTAAGGATGTCCGTCAGAGGGACATCCCCGGGGACTCCTGGACTGCAAGACGGAGCAGGCAGGCTGAGGGACACCCCTCCACCGAGTGCCTGAATGTCATGCACCGGGCCTCTTGTTCCTAAATGAAAACTGCTATCTAGTTTGCCATCTCTAAGTTTTATTAACCATTTGCTAGAAGCAAAATCCTCTGATCTCATATTTCTTTTAAGAGACAACTGTCTGAAACATCTCCAAACACTACAGTACTTAGCCGGCTTCAGAGGTACGTTGTGCCAATAGTTGGTCCTCAACATATTCTGTTGAAGACACCTCTTTCTTTCAGCTTCAGAATGTCAACAAAAACAACCAAATACACGACTGACAGTGACAGATCAAAACACGTGTGGGTCCGCGTTGGTGGTATAGTGGTGAGCATAGCTGCCTTCCAAAACACGTGTGGGATTGGGGCCAGTGAGAGCTTTATATGTTTCACCCATGCGCGAGTCAAGCCAGTGCATGTCACGTACCATCCAGTCAGGCGGTAGGACAGATGAACATTCAGTCACTTAGCCTTTTATATATAGAGATAATTCACGTACCATACAATTCACCCATTTAAAGTGTATAGTTCAATGGTTTCTAGCAAGTTCACAGAATTGAACAATCATCATCACAATCAATTTTATTTATTTATTTATTTATCCTCACCTGAGGATATTTTTTCATTGATTTTTAGAGAGTGGAATAGAGGGAAGGAGAAGAGAGAGATAGAACATCTATACAAGAAGGACACATCAACTGATTGCCTCCTGCACGCACAAGCACAGGTAGGTGCCTTTGACTGGAAATCGACACAACCTCAACCTCTTTCCTTTTTCTGCCCTACCCTCACTTTCCAGCACCCCCCAAAAAAAGGAACAATACTTTCATCTTTACCTCAGGTCCCACTTTAAAAAAAAATTTATCTTTATTGTTGAAAGTATTACAGATGTTCTATTTTTTCCCCATTGACCTCTTCTAGCCCAATCTACCCCCTACCCAGGCCTTCACTACACTATTGTCTGTGTCCATGGGTTATGCACATGTACATGTAAGTTACTTGGTTAATCCTTTCCCATCCCCAACCCCTAGAGGTCCCAAGTTAAGAAATTATGCAGATTGTAATTTCTGGGGCAACCACTAAAAGAATAAAAATAAAGTATGTAATTTCCAAGCTAGTTGGAGAAAAACTTAGAATGTATAAAAGAATCAACCCAAAAAAAGGCAAGAAGAGAAAAATAAAGATGGAGTAGTTAAAATAACATAAAGTGAGATGAGAGATTTAAACCTAAATATATCAATAGGCATTAATAACTATTGATTTTTATCTTACATTGAATTAACAATGAAACTTATTTTCTTTTTATACTAAAAATCAATAAAAACGAAATCACTGAAAATTATAAATATAATAATGTAACTCAATGGGGGGGAGGGAAATATGTAATACTTTCACCAATAAAGAACTATTTTTTAAAAAGAAAACATTATAACTCAAAATAATCGAAAACAAGATTAATTAAAAGAACTACTATTGAATTCCAGGAATTTCTGTGGCAGGACACAAATTTTAAAATTTAATAAAATATTACATTTTCTTAGCAAAAAAGTTTAAGTAAGATTTTCCTCTTGAACTGCTTTTCATGTTTTAATTAGAACTTTTTCTAAAGAATCATTTTATTTACAGTTGCAAGTTTCTTTTTAACACATACAATGTGTATTATATGATGGAATCAAATACCTGAAGGAGTTGGAATATTATGAATACATCCAGGACAACAGTGGAGAGAGTCATGAACAAAAACATCACAGTCCACACAGAAAACATTTTGGCACACAGTGCAATGATAGACCTGCAGTGAAAAGGAGAAAAGTAACTTTAAAAAGCAGTTTCTAAATGTAAGCATAGAAAACCTAGAAGACACTAAAAGTGCTTTGCTCTTTTATAGCTCTTATCAAATTTTCTCCATCTACATTATTTCTTCCTATGTATTATATGTTCTCAAATCTAAGGTGACTATTTTTTTCCAAAAATATTCCTTAGAAATAAAGAAATAACTTTGTCTTTGAGACCTAAAGTCTCTTCTATATTGGATACTCTCAATTATTTTATTTTAAGTAACTATTTGGGGAAGACACAAGCTTGAAATTAGCACTAGTTTTGAATGCTTGGAGAGGTCATCTGACTTGTTCAATTAAAAAAGAGGAGCACTATGGGGGTGGGAGGTGGAGTTGGAAGAGGGTATAGAGAGGATAAATGATGAGCAAACTCCTATCAGGTTATTCCTGAAGAAAAAATAAAATAAAGCAAAATTTTTAAAAAGGAGAAGCACAACAATATAACACAGATTTAGTTATTCCTTCAGTAATGACCTCACAATTGCAAAAGTTACATTACCCTTTTAAACCACTAAAGAATATGGCAAAAGACACATGTGAGACAAATAAAAAGAAAAAACTCATTATTCTATTAGTATTAACTAGTAAATTATTTGCCTGGATTAAACTTTCAGAACAGCATCATACACAGATTCAAAAATCATTAAATCTTAAATAGCACAGAAGTAAAACCGTCAAATATGCCCTAGCTGGTTTGGCTCAGTGGGTAAGAGCATCGGTCTGTAGACTAAAGGGTTCCAGGTTTGATGCCAGTCAAGGGCACATGCCCAGGTTGGGCTCGATCCCCAGTAGGGGCCTTGCCCGCTGATCAATGATTTCATCACTGATGTTCTATCTCTGAGCCCTCTCCCTTCTTCTTTGAAATCAAGAAAAATATATTTAAGAATAAATGAACAATTCAAAAATTGAGTCCAGAGAGGATGAAGCTACTGACATCAAAGAGGCATGTAAAACTTAATAAAATTGTTTGATGAAATATAACAGTAGAATAAACAAGCGATCATTCCCACTAACATTTTATATAGTTTACTAGAGGCCCAGTGCATGCAATTCTTGCATGGGTAGGGTCCCTAGGCCTGGCCAGCAATCAGTGCCAATCAAGGCCTTCATTCCAAGCTGCCTGCTGGTGGTCAGAGCACATCATAGCGAGCGACTGAACTCCCGAGGGGACACTGCATATTAGCCTTTTATATATAAATAATGCATAGTTTTAAATATGAACAAGCAACTAAATTAATAAAAATATCAAAACTAGACAATTATCTATCTTACTTGTATCTTTAAATAAGTTTATACATTCAAATTGGCCCCTTCCAAAATATTTAAAAATATTTTCTTATTAGCAAAATGGGGGAATAACCTTTGACCTGTGGCCATCTTAAGTGGTAACTTCACTTCAAAATGTGCATGACAGTGTTTAAAGCACAATACAGAGAAAAAATATTTACTATTTCCAAACTAAATGCAGTTTAGCATGCAAACTGAAGGCAGTTTAAAGTACTACAATATCTTTGTAGCAAAATTAGAATGCAGAATGACAAACAAATCTTTAAACTATTGTGCTCCATTTTATTTCTACCTATTATTATACTTCTGAGGAATAACCTGATAGGAGTTTGCTCTTCAATAATCTACTGAAAACTTATAATATTTCTTGTATAATACTTAATATTTAGAAAGTACATAAACTTACGTGTTGGTCTTTCAATTCCCCCTGACATCCATAACAAAATCTGAAAAAGTTTAAGAATCATTTTGTTTAGAATTAACTCATTAAAATAGTTCAGCAAAAGCTCATTAGCAAAATTTTAATTAATAAGTAATCTTACTTACAATTAATTTACACATGACTTTTATAAGAAAGAGTTAAGAATACCAGTAATTTAAGAAATTCCATGGTAAATCCAGTCATCTAACAGTCAGCCCAAAATGATACTTTAAAATAAAAAAAATTTACTTTTCTTCAAGAAGGAAGTTGATTCTAGAGATTTCAGCCCATGCATTAAACAGGAGGCAATATAAATGTGCAGATTTCATGGTTTCTAAAGGGAACTTAAAAATTACTGCAGCATGTTATCTATAAAAGTGGTTTATGCCACATGAACAGAATCATAAGTTTGGTTTTGATACGTTTGTTCCTCTTTGTATTCATCTGTACAGAATTTCCAAATTCAAAATGAGAAGAAAAGCTGTTCTGTACCAAATCATCTAAGCAATAAATGTTATATTTTAAAAGCTGCAAAAAAAAAAAAAAAAAGTACTTTTATTTTCATCAAGGTTAAACATAAGATGCTTTCTCAATTGGGATTATACAAAGGATTTAAACTCTATAGAAAATGATTTAAGTGACTATTTTTCACCCCTTCCAAAGATATAGACAGCTGGTTCAATTCTAGATAAACAGGAAAGGAGTTAATTTATTATATATAATAGATGCTTGTAGGCTTAATTTTCAAGGAATGATTTTGAGTTAATAATTCTCAAAACTTATTACAAAAAAAAAATAATAGTAACAGTTCCCTGCCTATCCACCCCACACTTCATTTCCAGTTCCCCAGAGATAACACCTTAAAAACTTTTGTCTGATAGTTACCTATGCTTATAGTGCTATCTTTTGGTTTTCTCATAGGCATTAGCTATAAAACTCTTACTACGGAAGATGAGGATTTAATTCTCTTTTAACCCTCTTGAACCAACAGCATGCACATGTATAACTAATGTCATTCTCAATTCTATGAAGTTAAATTATCTTAGGTAGAATATTAAATATTTAGTTTATTATGACTATATAAACATCCAGTTGAGACGTGTAATATAACTTTTCCTCTCTTTAAAACATTTTTTCCTCACCCTAACCAGTGTGGTTCAGTTGGTTGAGCATGATCTCATGCACCAAGAGATCACAGATTCCATTCCTGGTCAGGCCACATGCGTGGGTATGGGCTCAACCCCTGGAAGGGGGCATGCAGGAGGCAGTGGATCGATGTTTCTCTCTCTCACTTCCTCTCTCTAAAATCAATAAAAACATATATTTTAAAAATAATTTAAAAACATTTTTTCCTAGTTAATTATTATAGTTATTCACAAGCTTAGTTTTCTTTGGAACTGTCATTACCTTAGCCCCAACCTTTCCCTGAGAATACTAAAGATCCTCCAGTTATGTGCAAACATATCAGGAATTACATAGCTTTTGTCCTCTTGGTGACATTTCTCCTGGAACATTTTGACCTTCTCCAAACTGGACTGATCATTCACCACATGACACATGACACACAAGAGACATTCTGGGGTTTCCCTTTATCACCATCGCAGGCTTTTCCTTAGCCAATGTTGAATTAGATATTCCTTTCTCTTTCATTCATTCCCAGTTCCTCTGAAGCATTTCTTTTACAACTACCTCAGAAAATCTTTTTGAGACCTTACAAGTCTAAAAATGCCTTTATTCTACCTACATTTAATTGATATTATCTGGATATATAACTTAGGTTGCTAATAGTTTTCAGTATACATTTTGAAAGAAATTGCTCCTTGTCAGCATCCAATGTTACTGATGAGAAGCCAAATATTTTTAATTCCAGATTATGTGACCTAATTTTTCTTTTTCAGAAACGTTTGGATTTTGGATTTTGCTTCATATGCTGAAATTTCACAAGTATATACTTTAGTGTGGGTGTTTTCCTTCAATAGTCCTTTCAATCCAGAAAGTTTGTCCTTTAGTAGTACAAAATGCCCTTGAACTGTTTATCTTCTACTCTTCATTTGATCTTTTATTTTCATATTATTCTGACAAAGAATTTATCTTTTGGATAAATTCTCCAGTTTTACACCATGGAAATCAGCAAATGCTAAAAATCAGGGCTTTTTTCTTTGATCTTTTTGGAGAGCTGGTCTACTAGTATACCACATAGATAGGTTTAGGGAAACTAATAGACTTCTGCAGATCCAGATCTATTTAACGAGCCATTTCAGTCATAACCAAGGCATTTTATCTTGTTTTTTAAAGTTAGGAATAATTTTGCCCAGGATAATACAACTAAAATATAGTAACAATGTATTCAAGCATTAACTTATAACATAAATTAATCAAAATGCATATACCTTTCGCCATTATGTTCTTCTAGGGGAATTTCTTGAAAAGCATCCAAAGGAAATAAATGATGATAAGACCGTGCCAAATGGGGAGCAGACACCAAAGTAAGACCTGACATGACAGCAGAGATATTAATAGCCCAAACCTCATAAAGACAATGGACTTGTATACATGCATATAAGCCTAACCAATAAACACAAGACAACAGGGGGGTGAGGGCATGAGAGGGGAGTTTAATGTGGGGGGGGGGGGAGATATAAGGACACATATGCAATACCTTTATCAATAAAGAAATTTTAAAAAATTAAAATTAAAAAAATAAAAATAAATAAATAAATAAATAAATAAGAATATGCTTTGTTCAGAAAGAGAATCAGGAAACTCTTCTGGAATGCCATGTTTGTTCTTAGAAATGGAATACTGGCACTCAATAAAAAGTACTCTAGCCCAGCCAGGTGGCTCAGTTGGTTGGAGCAAATCCAAAAAGGTTGTGGATTTAATTTCTAGGTCAGGGCACAACTTAGGTGGTAGGTTCCCTCCTGGTGGGGGCATACAGTAGGTCATGTTTCTCTCTCTCCCTGCCCTTTCTCTCTCAAATCAATTTTTAAAAACATCCTCAGGCAAAGACAAACTATGGAATCTCAGAGGAAAGGGGAGGGATGGGAAGAGATCATCCAAAGACCATGTATGCATATATGCATAACCCATGGACACAGACAATAGGGTGGTAAAGTCTGGAGGAATGGGGGTGGGGAGTAGGCGGAGGGTCAAAAGAGGTCAATGGGGGGGGGGGGGGGAAGAAGAGGACATATGACTACTTTCAACAAAATATAATTTTAAAAAAATAAATAAATGAAATAAACAAAAAAGTAATTTATTTCTCTTCTCACATTAAATCTAGAAACATAGGCAGAGCTTAATATTTACATCTATTTTAATAGCAATATAGGTGAGAGGTTATTAAAAATTAGTTTGCTGAATTAATAAATAGTTGGTTTCTTACCACAGATTTTACATTCAACAGGAAGCTCACAATACTTTGCCCGACACTGAGGGCAGAAATAGCCTCCTAATGTAAGTCCTGGCTCAGTATTGCTATCCAAATGCCTATGGAAGAAAAACATTACCTTAAAAACATGATCTATAAAGATGTGAAAAGTTAGAGCAAAAGGAAGTATGCCACCTTGATTTTAAAATCTTGAAGTTGTTTTATAGCTCACTTATGTTCATTTGGGGGGTTTTTCCTGTCTGCATTTTTGTTTTGAATGGTTTCCATTAATGTCTTTGAATTTACTGATCTTTTCTTCTTCGGTGACTAATTTACTGTTAAATTTTTCATCTTACAAACTGTATTTTTTCATCTCTAGAAATCTGAATTGTCGTCGTCCCCCCCCCCCCACATTTTCCATGTCTCCTATGCTCATGTTCTTCTCTACTTTCCTAACCATATGGAATATATACACTTGTCTATCTTTTAACACTTTATTAATTCTGTCAATTGTGTTATTACTGGATATGTTTCTGTTCTGATTCCCCCCCCACCTATTATGGGTATTTTCTGACTTCTTTGCATGCCTGGTAATTTTTGACTGGCTAACAGACATTGTGAATTTTTTTTGTATCCCTTAAATATGGTAGGCTTTTTCTGAAATATACGTAAGTAACTTGGAATATTGATAGTTTGATCTGTCCAAGACTCGCTTTTAAGTTTATTAGGCTGCCCAGACAGCTGTTAGTCTAGTGTTAATTTGGTTCCATTACTGTGGACTGTGTTCAGTGCTTACTATGTTAAGAGGTCTCTCCAAACTGACTGGTGGGGACATAAACTACTCCCTGCCCCGTGTGAGCTCTAGGGATTGTCCTGCTTGCTCCTGTCCACTGGCTCTTCCCACAGCCCCAGGAATTTGCTCACAGTGACTCATGGGGAAGTCCCTATAGATCTTGAGAGCTGTATGAAGCTCTTTACTCTCTAGTACTCTGTCCTACAAAATAACAGCCATTTCAGCCTCCCCAAACTCTGGCTTGGTTTCTTCAACTGAGCAAGACCTCCAGGCTTGGGGTTTTCCTTCCCTATACTACTGCCTGTAAATTCTCTCTAGACAGTGGACTGCAATCATAGGGCCCATATCTTTTGTTCCCCATTTTTTAGGGATTCTTATCTGCACCACCTGTTTCCAATATCTGAAAACTGTTGTTTTATATATTTTGTCTGGTTTTTCTGTCAGGAAGCAAGAGGGTAAATCCAGTCCCTGTTACACCTTTATAGCTGGAGACAGCAGTCTTTTGGGTAATATTTAAAAATTACTTTCTTAAATGTACTCGTACTTTTACAATTAGGTAAAATGTAAAGCTCCAAAGTTAAAACAAGGTTTACTCAGAAAAGTCTATGATCTACCTCTCTTTCTCCACACACCTAGGTAAACAATTTTCAGTTTTCCCTTTTGATTTCCATTACTATTTTTATTATTAATATAAGCAAGTAGGTATATCTACTCTAATTTCCTCCCTCTCTTACATAACTGGTATACTATACACTTTTCTCTACCTTGTTTTACTTAGTAATATATCCTAAATATTACTGCTTAGGTGTATAGATAGTTCTCACTCCTTTTTACAGCTACATAGAATGTAATCTTTTACAAAAGCCGTTAAATGTCAAGCCCATCCTTTTCATTTGTAACTTACGAAGGGAATTAAAACGATAAAACATCATCACTGACAGCTTCAGGTTTGTACTTACACCATGCTGAAAGAGGGCTTTGCATCTTGATCAGACAGAGAAGCAACGGTATGCTGAGGAAATCCTTCATAGAAAAAAATGTATTACTTATTTTTTCCAAGCAAATAACAAAATTCCAGGACCAGAAACTAAAAATGTTCCTACCACAAAGACCACAAAGTTATACACAAGTCCTCTTTCCTGCCTTTAGGTATGTTTAATATAGCATGGTCAAACTGACTGTAATTCCAATTTACAAGAAAAATTAAAGTGGAGGAAATGGGAGAAAGATCTGTCCATACATATGGCCTCAGATTCTCAAATTCGTATCTATATTTTCTAACAACACATACTGCTTTTTAAGAAGGAAATGTAATTTTAAAATAGTTTCTGGCACAATAGAGGAATCTGTTGCTTAATCTACTTTGACTTTATATAAAAATATGTCTCTATTTAAAATTTTGGAATGAGAGAAACCAAGATGGCGGCATAGGTAAACACCTAAACTGCTGCCTCACACAACAATTTCAAAACTGCAACTAAAAGACAAAACGGGCACCATCCAGAACCACAGAAAAGTTGGCTGAGTAGAAATTCTACAACTAGAAGGAAAAAGAAAAGCAATTAAGACTCTGAGGAGCTGCAAAAGGCTGAGGTTCGAAGACATGTGTGCAAAGAAGGCAGGCAACTGAGTACTGGCTTTCTTAAGAAGGAGGGAGTCAAAAGCTCCTGACTGCACTGAACTTCAATTCCGGGCAAGACTCTGGGGTGAAACTGGACTGTCAGGATAGAGAAAAGCACACTGAGACTCAGAGGAACTGCAGAAGGCAGAGGTCCAGAGGCGCACGTGCGGAGAGAGCAGGCAACTGAGTATGCCACCGGCTTTCTTAAGCTGGAGGGAGACAAAAGCTCAAATACATCTATCACAAGTGAATCTAAAAATCAAGTGAGTAAAAAAATCTGATAAACAGAATAAACTAGTGAATATATAGAATCAGGGGCATAGAAAGGAAGTGGACTGACAATTCTCAGGGGGAAAGGTGTATGGGGGATGCAGAAAGAGACTGGACAAAAATTGTATACCTATGCCGAAACCGGTTTGGCTCAATAGATAGAGCGTCGGACTGCGGACTGAAAGGTTCTGGGTTCGATTCCGATCAAGGGCGTGTACCTTCGTTGCAGGCACATCCCCAGTTGGGGGTGTGCACATCCCCAGTTGGGGGTGTTGAGGCAGCTGGTCGATGTTTCTCTCTCATCGACGTTTCTAACTCTCTATCCCTCTCAATTCCTCTCTGTGTAAAATCAATAAAATATATTTTTTCAAAAAGTTCAAAAAAATTGTATACCAATGGATGAGGACTGGGGGGGGGAGGGGTAAGGGCCGAGGGTGGGGTGGGGACTGGGTGGAGGAGAACTATGGGGGGAACAACTGTAATAATCTGAACAATAAAGATTTATTAAATTTTAAAAAATAAAATTAAAAGTTTGGAATATCCAAACACATGTAGTGTGCTTTTTACATATATTTTTTCAATTTGAAGACAAACCCAAGAAAAGGATAAACCATAAACAAAAATATATTTTATTATATAAAATGTTAAATATATGTATATATCAAAACAAATTTAAGTAAAGGTAAATGACAAACTGAAAAAATATTTATATCAGATGATAGAAAATGGATTTATATTCCTAAATGGCTCTAACAAATTAATTTGAAGAAAAATTTATTTTAAAAAATATATACTTTATTGATTTTTTACAGAGGAAAGGAGAAGGATAGTTAGAAACATCGATCAGCTACCTCCTGCACACCCCCTATTGGGGATGTGCCCTCAACCAAGGTACATGCCCTTGACCGGAATCGAACCTGGGACCTTTCAGTCCACAGGCCGAGATTCTATCCACTGAGCAAAACCAGTTTTGGCAAAAAAAATTATTATAAGATTAAACAGTAACTTTAAAATGGGCTATGGAAATGTATCATAGCAGAAAAGATTAGCCAGCACACTATCTAAAATGTATTGAGTGTTGCCCAGGTGATGTAACTCAGTGGCTGAGTGTCGGCCCATGAACGAGGAGGACACATGCCGGGGTTGTAGGCTTACTCCCCAAGAGGGGGTGTGCATGAAACAGCTGACCAACGATTCTCTCTTATCACCGATATCTCTCTCTCTCTCTTCCTTCTTCTCTCTAAAATCAATAAAAATATATTAAAATGTACTGGGTGTTTATATAAACCATTATTTAAATGCTTCATCTGCATTAACTCAATCCTAGCAAATCACAAGATAGATACTCATCTCATATTACAGACGAGAAAATAGGAAAGAGCTCTTGACCAGCACTATAAATACCCCAAAACAAGGCAGAAAAGCATTCCACTTTCACTTACAGGTAAAAAAAAAAAAATGCATTTTAAGGAGATTCTTCTTATATTTAGTTATTTATTTTTTTGCTAATCTTCTCTGTATCGTTCCAATTTTATATATATGCTGCCGAAGCGAGCACAGATTCTTCTTATATTTAAAAAGTTGTATCTTTTTAAGTATAAATGTAGTAAATGTTTATTATAAAATTTTTAGAAAATAGCCGAAACCGGTTTGGCTCAGTGGTAGAGCGTTGGTCTGCAGACTGAAAGGTCCCAGGTTCGATTCTGGTCAAGGGCATGTACCTTGGTTGCGGGCACATCCCCAGTACGGGGTGTGCAAGAGGTAGCTGATCGATGTCATCGATATTTCTAACTCTCTGTCCCTCTCTCTTCCTCTCTGTGAAAAAATCAATTATATATATATATATATATATATATATATATATATATATATATATATATGTTTTTTTTTAATTTAGAAAATATAGGAAAACAGAACAAACAAAAAAATAAAGGAAAGCAGCCGAAACTGGTTTGGCTCAGTGGATAGAGCATCGGTCTGTGGACTAAAAAGTCCCAGGTTCAATTCCGGTCAAGGTCATGTACATTGGTTGCGGGCACATCCCTGGTGGGGGGTTTGCAGGAGGCAGCTGATCAATGTTTCTCTCTCATCGATGTTCTAGCTCTCTATCCCTCTCCCTCTCTGTAAAAAATCAATAAAATATGTTTAAAAAAATAAAAAATTTTAAAAAATAATAAAAATAAAAGAAAGCAAACGTTTTGTTTTTTTTTACATGATGCAAAACCCATCATTCTATCTCCTGAAAAAAATCACATTGAGCAATTTGATGTAACTTCCTACAACCTTCTGTCTTTTCAATTTGTATGACACAGCTTCGATCAAACAGTACAGAGGGTTTTGTAGCTTATTTGTTAAATTTCCTAGTATAAGAATTTTTCTATAAATACAGTGTCTTTATACATTTCACACAGTGACAATAAAAGAAAGCCAGTAGTGTTCTCTGAGTGATAGGACTACAAATGGTTTTAATTTTCTTTTCCTATTTCTATTTTCCAAAATTGCTTCAACAGCATAATTTTCTCTAATTATAAAACATTTGAGTTTAAAAAATCTTAAATGTTAAAATCTTGTAACATTGTGCAAATGAAAATAGAAAGTCTATTTTAAGCCTATATATATATATATATATATATATATATATAGGCTTAAAATAATATATATATATATATATTAAATGTCTATTTTAAAATAAACACTTACCCATACGAATCAGTGAGCACTCCGAACTTGAGCTAGCAGGAGGAGGACTAACATGATGTGTTAGCAATTCTTTGTAATGGCTTTCATCTAAAATAACATGGTATGTGCCTAACAAGATAAAAAGCAAAATAAAATAAAATATGCTTTCCAGAGAGGACAATGAATTATATAATTTCTTCGTATTTCTATAAAAACATTTGTTAAATTATCATTTTTTCAAAAATCTTATTTAAATAGTATCTTTACTTGTCTTCTCTAGGAATAATTATAATTACAATTTAAAGTCAAGTTGTAAGATCTTTACAAGTTATTACATCTAATGAAATTTCTAGCTTTTCAAGAGTTATACCGCCTCTGCACACTGACATAATTTCTGAAAATTCCTTGCATTTTGAGATATCAACAGAATCAATGATATATTTAAAATGACTACATATTTTAGACTTCAGGACAAGAACTGCTTAATTAAAGCTTAAAAACAGGCTAAAACATCCTAACTTAAGTAATAGCTTGTTACTTCTTCTATAGTAATTATGAATAAATATTGAAGATTCCAGATATATACCACCAGTTTCACGAGCAAGGACAGTGCAAACCCGAACCTCTGCAGACAATCCGATAACAGACACTCTAATTTTAGCTGTCTTTAGGGTCTTCATAAAATCCAAGGAAATGGATGGTTTTGGGGGGAAGAAAAAAAGAGCATTGAACAATTAATGTTTAAAAAATAAACAAAATACTCTGAAAACTTGTAATAAATTCACTACAGAATTTTCTTTAGAGTTGTAATTTTGGCTGTGATTACATAATTATTGTATCTACCTTGATTAGGTCATAGATATTAGATGGATCACAAGTTGTGAGGCTGCTAAAGATGATTAGAACTTCTCTACTTGTATGCCCAGGCATGTGTCTAAACAAAGATAAAATACAATCCAATTAGGTACAACAAATTACACCATTGAAAAGTTTCCCCAAAAAGGACAGTATTCATGTTTATAAATTTAGACTATAGAATATCTCATTTGTTTCAATACTGCAAAAAAAGGAATTGAAAATTACCTTAAGTTTTGGGGATAGATAGATAAACAAGACTGACAAAGGTTCTTGACATCATGAATCTTATATTCCAGGAGATTAGTTTCATACTAAATCTAAAGGGTACATTAGAAAGTACAATAATACCATATGGATCAATTTTAAGGTGTATACATGTGGCTTGATAACAGTAATGTACTTCTTTTTTAAAGTTCAGAATGATTCAGAGACAAAATTATCATAATAAACCTTACTAATTTTTATATACCATTTAATTAAATGATGGCTTATGGACTTTTAAGATGTGATAAGCAGTCATCCCCTATACTAAATAGAGATTTCTATGCTTTTAGGAGCAATTTTATCAGTTATTTATAGCCTACCTGCTTATATCTTCCATATTAGGCACTTAGCTTCACTTGTGGATGCTGCTCCGGCGCCTACCTTTATTACATATATTACTTTCTCATCTACTTTGAAACTAGAATAACATCTATTATATAAAGCTTTAAAACCTGAGTCAGGATAGATTAGCCAGGGACAAACTATATGAGCTTTAACTATACTGAATATCGATACTTCCTCTTGGTCTAAGTTATATTCCATATAATTGAACTTGTTGGAAAAGAGTGCTATTGATTTACAGATTACAAAGTCTATATATTTTTTGTGCACAAATCTGTGCAACGGGCCTCTAGTAAGCTAATAAAAGGCAATAAATATACAACAAACTCAAATTATTACACCACATTAAATTCCATATACAATTAATTTTCAATAAAATAATTCTTCAACATATTTCTTTTGTAATACTAATGTTGCTACATTATTAACTATATTTTTCTAAAACTTCACCAATTAAAATATAAACACCACACTAAACATCATAAATGACATTACATATTTCTCTTAATGATTTCATTATAGCTGGGTTTATAGAGATACATATTAACATATTATCTTTTCAACAACTTTTCCAAAACACTTTGAGATCAAACATGTAATAAATATAAAACACTAACTTCAGAGTTTGCATAGCCATGTCTAAGGAGTTATAAAGAGATGGCTCTCCATGGCAGGTCATATCTACAGCTTTCTTCAAAGACGTTATGTGTTTTCTAGGGTTTCCTAAAATAGAAATGGAATAATTTACTTTTATTTATTTTTAATTTTATTTATTTTAGTAACAGTTTACATTCAATATTATTTTGCATTAGTTTCAGGTTGTTAGACAGCATAGTTGTTAGACATCCATATACTTAACAAAGTGTATTCCCTATTAATTTACTTTTAGTAAATTTCTATTTACACATGGAATTTATGTCTCTCCCAAAATTTACATATTTGTTAAAGAACAGAAATCTTTTCAATTTGTTTTTAGCAACTTGCATTTATGAGAGATGTTTGTTATATAAAGTCTCACTTCACACTAAAAAAAAAATACAGTAAGTCCACACTAATGTCGTTGAAAGGTTCTACAACTTTAAACAAAAACAATGTAAAACAAGACCAACTTTACTAATTGATATAAACAAGAGTTAAGTTCCTGCAGCATTTCATCATTGCCATAATGAAATGATGCTGAACTTGGTATTATTCAAAGGACCTGCTGCACAAATCGGTTTTTACCTATTAGCACATGTTTTAAATAATATTAACCTAGAGTGCATAACTTTTTACTTTTACTATTTCCCTATTTCACCACTTTAAAACTAGTATTTGTTGACATTTTAATATCTCTGAAATCACAATGTGTCTTACCATAGCTGGCAGCCATGCAGCATGTGGAAACCTATGAATGGCTATCGATGTGTTGTTGCTTCAACTGCATTATGTACATGGACTGTGCTATTCATATCAAGTTTAACTGTGATTTAAAGTGTTTTTTAGAAAGGTTATTAATACAAAAGGTTAAATATTTATGTTGAAAGACATGGCACAGAGCAGTGAGGTGTAAATTTGTTACTAGTGAAGCAAAAATTTATTGATAGAAGAATGTCTACAATTCTACATTTTTCTTCAGGGGAAAACTCTAAGAGCTTTATAAGACTTAAGGAGGAGTTCCACAAATAGACAAAGCTGTGTTATCTTCTGTTATGGAAATAACATCAATGAAAAAAATTCTCCATCTCAAGTCAACTAATACAAATAAAGGGAGGACAAACTGCCCAATTCTTTACAATGGCTGACAAACACATTAAATCATAAAGAAGCTAATATGAACAAGTCACATATCAATGACCTTGTGTCAAAATTTCATTGCTAGTGTTTCCTTTTTTTTTAAAATCCTCACCAGAGGACATGCTTAGAGAGAAGAAAGGAGAGAGAAAGAGGGAAACATTGATGTGAGAAAGAAACATCAATTAGTTGCCTTCCTCACATGCCCTCACTAGAGATCAAACCCACAACCTAGGTATATGCCCTGACCAGGAATTGAACTGGCAACCTGTCAGTGCAGAGGACGACACTCAAACAATGGAGTCACTCCAGCTAGGCGGTGTTTTCTTCTTGATGCTATCTCACAAATGATGAAATCTGAGATTCAAGCAGTGTTTCCCAAACTTTTGACATATGTGTACCCCTTCTATAATTTTCGTAATGCTGAGTACCCCTCGCACTAATGAGAACGTAGAATTAGGCGCAGCTAAGCACGGTGCAGTGCATATCCCCACCAAACTCTTCCCGTACCCCTGGGGGTACGCGTACCACACTATGGGAAACACTGAATAGAGTATTCTTCGGACATTTTCTCCTATTTTAACACTGTCTTCATATTAAATATTGATCATCAAAACTCACCGCATGGTCAATGTGGCTCAGTGGTTGAGCACTAACCTATGATGGTTTGATTCCTGGTCAGGGTACATGCCTGTGTTGCGGGTTCGATCCCCAGTGTGGGGCGTACAGGAGGCTATTGGTCAATGATTCTCTCTCATCATTGATGTTTCTATCTCTCTTTCCCTCTCCCTTCCTCTCTGAAATCAATAAAAATATACTTTAAATAAATAGATAAAACAGTTCATCTTAGCCCTGGAACATACCCAGGCTGTGCGTTCAATCTCTGATGAGGAAACAACCAATAATGTCTCTCTTTTTCTCTCTCTCTCTCAAACCAATTTAAAAAAAAACATATCCTTAGGTAAGAATTAAAAAAATAAAGATACACACACACACACACACACAGAGTTCATCTTTGATACCAAATTTAATAGAGAGCATACAGAAGGTCTAATTTTACTTACTAGGCAACCTTTTGAATAGGGTTACAAGGCTGAGTAAATAAAGTCAACCCTTGAGTCCTGTAAAGGTAATTTTATGCATACCTGAGAGTTCTGTCAATTTTTCAGCTCTTTTACTCTTTGTCACAATAATTCCAATCTAAAAATAAAAAAAAAAGGGATTATTAATTTAACAAACTACTTTTTGGTAAGAATGTACATTAACATAAATTAGTAATTACAAAAGGAGTAAAATGTGTGAAACCTTTTTTCATGATGCTTTAGACATAACTTTACCTATTAGTTCACTGTACATAATTTAACTTTTAGAGCTAACTTGTTTTTCATTGACAAATATACTAAAAACTGGTACACAGTCTGAATCACTTAATAATTCATAGAACAGATGTTCTAAAATGTTTTAAAAATAAATTCTATTTGGTAATAAGATCAGGAATCTAATTCTGAATTCCATCACTTATTTACATACCTGACTAATAGGATTTTGATCAAAATATTCCTCTACGAAGTATTCCAACAACTGTTCAAATAAAACAAAAGGAAATTTCAGGTAAGAGCAAAATAACAACCACAGGGAACATATTTTGGGAAGCCTATTTATCAAGCATGATTTTTAAGTTATTAAATTTTCAAAAAATGTTCAGTAGTAAAAATATTAAGTAAAAAAATGATAAAATTTAGTTCTGGCCAGTGACTCAGAGTATTGTCCCAAACTCCATAAAGGTATCAGGTTCAATCCCTGGCTGGGGCGCACACATACAGGAAACAACCGACTGATGTTTCTCTCTAACATCGATGTCTTTCTCTCTTTCCCTCCCTTCCTTTCTCTCTAAAATCAATACAAATATATCCTTGGGTAAGAATTAAGTAAAGAAAATGTCTGAGCTTTTTTCTCTGGAGTTTTTTAATTAATATTTTAAGATTGTGGTTGACCGCGGTAACTGAACTGAGGATAAGGGGGGACTACTATAATTAGCTATTTTAGGTATCATTTTCTAAATGATCTGGTAGCACTTCTACATAACTATAGTTTGTATTAACCCAAAGAAAAAGAAAAAAATATTTATGTAAAAAATTTTCTTTTACCTTTAAAGTACACGTCAGTCTATTCGGCTTTAAATCTTGGTCTTCCATTGTTCTTGATCCATCCACTACCACATAAAGATGGCGCATCTACAAAAGAAATTATTAATACAAAGAAGGACAGTATTCAAATACTTTTTGACCAAGAAGTAAAAACGGCATTTAGTACTCCATAGTCTATATATATTTTTTCTTAATATGTTGTTTTAAAAGGTTTATTCTATCAAGCCAGAATGCTTCTTAACCCCAAAATAGTTCTGTACCAGTAAAAGAAAAAAATAACATACCATTCCAAGTCGAACTTGTCCATGGTGCTCATATACTCTGTTAAAATTATGCAAACATTTTAATGGACTACCATATATTGCCCCCTGAAATCAACACAATGCTTCAACTAACCTACATTTAGTAAATTATTAATTTATGGAAGCCACATAATTATAGGCATTCTGGATAGTCTCTAAAGACCCATTTCCCTGCAGAGGTACTAGGTTGCTGGTTCCTTCCCCCTGTTCTTGTTTGTACCAGGTCAGATTTCTGGAAACATTGGTGACATTAAGTACTGAGGAGTGGGTATAGGTGCACAGAAAAACTTAAAGAAATATACTTTAGCTTTTGTAACATACCTACAAAAAAGTTTACATACCTTTTTCTCTTTGCTTTGAAGAGAATGTCTTCTATTGTAGCTTTAAGTGATCCTGACTCATCTTCTTTAAGAATCTCCCTATAAGCAGTAATTACTTGTTTAAAAAGATAAGCTAAAAATTTATTAACCCAGCAGAAATGAAAACATATGTCCATATAAAGATCTGTATGTAAATGTTCACTGGTGCATTATTCATAACAGCCAAAAACTGTAAGCAATCTAAATGTCTATCGACTGATGAGTGGATGAATAAAAATATGGTATAACAATAGAATACTATTCTCCAATAAAAAAGAATGATATTGATATATGCTACATGAATGAACCTTTAAAATAGCATTTTTTTAAAAAATTGATTTTAGAAATAGAAGGGAAGAAAGGGAAGGAGGGAAGGAGAAAAATAGGGAAGGGAGGAAGGAAAGGATGATGAGAGGGAAGAAGGAAGAAGGAAACATTTATTTGTTGTTCCACATATTTATGCATTCATTGGTTGCTTCTTGTTTGTGCTGACCCAAAAACAAACCTACAACCTTGCCTGGCCGGTGTATTCAGTGGTTAGAGCATTGGTCCGTACACTGAAGGGTCAAGGGTTGCATTCCTGTCAAGGAAGGGCACGTACCTGGGTTGCAGAATCAATCCCAGGCCCTGGTCAGGGCATGTGCAGGAAGCAATCAATTGATGTATCTCTCATACATCAATGTTCTCTCTCTCTCTCTCTCTCTCTCTCTCTCTCTCTCTCTCTCTCTCTCCCTTCCACTCTCTCTAAAAAAAAAAAAAAAATCAGTGGGAAAAAATATCCTCGAATTAACAAAAACAAACAATAACAAAAAAACCTGCAACCCTAGCATATCAGGCTAACACTCTAACCACCTGAACTACTGGCCTAGTAGGAAAAACAGTATGTTAAGTGAATGGAAGCCAGATACAAATGACCACATATTTTATTATTACATTTACATGTAATGTCCAGAAAGGGCAAATCTATAGAGACAGAATGTAGATTAGTGGTTGGCTAGGGCTAGAGGTATAAACTGAATTAACTGTAAGTGGGCAGAAGGGATCTTATTGGGGCGGTAAAAAATGTTCTAGGATCTGACAGGTAGCTCAGTTGGTTGGTGCGTTATCCCAACATAACTAGGTTGCATTCGATCTCCGGTCAGGCATATAAAAGAAACAACTAATGAATGCATAAATGAGTGGAGCAACAAACTGATGTCTCTCTAAAAAATTTTTAATGTTCTAAAACTGGTGGTGATAAATGCACAATTGAACAAATTTTCTAAAAATCACTCACACACTGGAAACAGCTCAATTTTAACATTTGTAAAATATACTTTAATTAAGTTGTAAAAAAAAAATGTCTAAAAGATGCCTAGCTGGTGTGGCTCAGCAGTTGAGAGTCAACCCAGGAACTAAGAGGTTGCTGGTTCCATTCCCAGTCAAGGCACATGCCCGGGTTGGGGGCTCGATTCCAGTTAGGGCCATGTAGGAGGCAGCCCATCAATGACTTCCTCTCTGTTTCTATATCTTTATTCCTCTCCCCTCCTCTCTCTCTAAAAATCAATTTAAAAATATTTTTTTAATGTATAAAAAAGAGACATTGTAATAATGCTCTACTCACCATGTTCTTTCATAGCCTCCTTCCCATCGCTTAGTTTTTTCAGGTTCTTCATCCATTTTTTCTTAAATGTATTATATTATTCAATATCCTATAAAAATCATTACATTATAAATTTCCTAAAAATATTTTTAGGAATTACATTTTTTATACAATTAAATCTGAAAAGTAGAGGGGAAAGTAAACATAGAAAGTAAAAAAAAAAAATCAGAATGCAAGTTCATCTTATATTCTTTGAAATTTATTCAATACTTGTTGTTGGGTGAAAATACTTTACAAAATCCTCATGGAACTTTTTCCCATCTCCAAGAAATACTAAAAATATTTACACACAAATTTGGCACCAATAAAAGTATCTTTTATAATTTTTTTTAAAAAATGCATTATAGATGTGTCATAGAACAGTACCATGGATTATGAGAAGTGGGTACAGTGTAGATAAAGTAAGATTAGCTACAACTAATGATTATTATTATAGCTGAGTGATGGATATGGTGATTTATTATACTACCCCTTCATCTTTGCGTACATGTGAATTGTTTCATAATCAGGTGTTTATATGAAGTTTATTATTTATAAATGATAAATACTTATGGCTCATAATTCAAAAAATGAAACACTAAAAGGAAAAAAAATTAGTAATTCAATAAATAGGTTTCATCTGTATGACTGGATGAAGGGTGATTGTTTTGCTTCTTTATTCATTTCTGTATTTTCAATACGAACCTTCATTTCTTTAATAATCAAGGACAAAACAGGTAGTAGGGGGAACCTATTAAGCATAACCAAGTAATAAACTTCCCACCTCATGCACACCTCCACCCTCCCCAGTGAAATCTCCCTCCCTACCCCACACTCATTCTCAGCCTCCTTTCTGCATAAATGAAGACTCGAAGGAATCCTAAGTGCCAGGACATTGAGGACAAAACAAATCCCATCGCTGGCAGAGCCAAAGATAGATTTTTATGCTGAGGACCATAACCAAGACCTTACCCTCCTGTTATATTATTGTTTCTAAAACAGGTATTTAAGAATTTGAAGAACTAACATATAAATGGACTTCTGGAATTAAAATCTATTGACAAGTTGTACAGTGTTTTTATGGCATCACTGTTTTCTAAGGCACCTATAATAATTAGATGTTATTTACTAAAGCTCAGCGTCTCTCACTGAATTAACCACTCTATGGCACTGAAAGAGACTCTTTTGTTTCAGGAAATCTGGTGATCCACTTTAACATCTTGAAGTAAAGAGAAATGATTTAATTCTAACTTCTGTAATTTTTTGACAGCTATGTTGATGGTCTTGTATAGGTTTAATGTAATAACATAACATTACAGTGAATAAATTGAACATTTTGATTCTCCAAGCAAGTGTTTTCAATGTTTTTAAACTCAAATCCTTTGAAAAGTGGCACCCATCACATCAAAATGTATTTTACTTTTAATTTCATACTGAATTTTCTGAAAGTTCAGAAACAAAGTGAGTTGAAACTGCAAGTGGGAACACTTCTGGCTCGCTGCATACAAGTAGGTTTGTTTTAATTCGAGCGGCCTGGGACGGGAAACTTCGGGCATAGGATACAGGTGGGAGGCTCCCCATCACTGCAGACGTTCGAAGGGAAGTTGGATGCTTACAACGCATCCTGGAGAAAGATGTGCCTGGGGACCCCTAAGTCATCCAACTCCTGTAACTAACTTCCTCATATTCCATCTTCCTAAAATATCACTAATCTGTTTCCTGGGAATCCAAGCCCAGGAAAGCCCAGCGTTAAGCCTGTGGGTGTGCCTCCTGTCCCAGGAGCTCAGACAATCGGAGATCTGCATCAAACACCCAACTCGTGAAGCTTGTGTCAGACCTGATCCTAGCCGGCGCTGAGAGACAGGCACGGGAGATCCCTGTCCTGTGTTTCAGGTGTGCAACTCGAGGATCAATGGTTCGTAACTCTCTCTCTCTCTCGAGGCCTCACGGCTGGAGGCAGGTCGCAAACTCGAACCCAGGATCACCATTTCCAAAACTCGCGCTCTGCAGTGGGGACACTCCCCCCGAGGTTTCCCCGCAGCTCCCCCCCCCCCCGAACTGTCCTCCTCTCCCTCACATCCTCATTCCCTAGGGCGCCGCTCAGGGCATTCGGCCTCCGGCCCGGGGAGTGCAGGCCCTCCTCGCCGCCGGCCTCCCCAGGCAGCCGGCCCCACGCCCCGGCTCAGCGCGGGCCGCCTCCACCCGTGGACTCACCGGTCCAGCCCGACGCTGCTCTGCCCGGAAACCGTTCTGCCCGGAAGCTCCGCCCGATCCGCTCTAAGGGCAACCCCGAAGTCCTTCCGCCGCACGCACGCGGAGGCGTGGCAGAAAGGTTCCGGCCGCTTCAAGTGCAGGTGGTGGGAACCTTACGTTCCGGAGCCGCGGCTTCCCCCAGCTGATTATGAGTGCGGGGAGTGACCTACTGTCCCCGCTTCCAGCTAACGAAGAGGCGACAAAAGCATCCTCGCCTCTTGCAAGGTTGGAGTCCTGATAGCTGTCGATCGGGAACTGAGGAGCATGACTTGGTTTTATTTCTAAGGGTTGGCATGGTGAGAACGGCAGCAGCTAACCCGGGACCCGACTGTGCAGGTTTTCTGGGAGGCCTCCGCTGCTCCCGGTGTGCACGTGACGAATGTTTTATTGAACATACCTTAGAGAATCCTCATGGGACTTTTTCCCATCCCCAAGAAAGACTCAAAATATCTACACACAAATGTGAACCCACTAACTCTGGGCCTGATTACAGTGCTCACCACTGAGATCGCAGTAGTGAAAAACGGACAGATATCCTTGGCTTCACGGGTTTCCTTTTATGGAGACGGTGGTCAAGAAAAACACACTCGATCAGGTGGTGATAGTGGCATGGAGTGGAAGGAAGCCTGAAAGGAGGAATGGGTGGGTGTATTGAATGGCGTGGTCAGAGGAATTCACACCTGGACAGTTGGGCCACGATCAGAATGAGAGGGGGAGGTTTACCAGGCTGCTCTTAGGGAAGATCTCTCCAGGGAAAGAGGGGGCGAGTGCAAAGGTGGAAGAACATTGGCGTGTTTGAGGGGTGAACGGTGGCCACGGAAATCGGAGAGGTGGGGGCTGAGAGCATCCAGAGAACTTCTGGGGGAGGAGGATGGCTTGAACAGCGTAGTAGGGCAGTGCAGGGAGTGAGAAGCGGGTGGATTTACAATCTTGTCCATAGATTGGGTGCGTGTTATGAACAAGGAACCAGTGATTCCAAACTCTTTTAGTTGAGCAACTGAAAGGTTGGAGTTGCAATTACTGAGAGGGTAAGGGATGGGTACGGTCAGTTGTTTTGGAAAAGTTGTTTGAGATGCCTGCTAGTATATATGGAATTAAATACTAGTATTTCCCACGCTCGAGTAATGGAGAGGCAAAGCAACCCCAGAATATTTTTTTTAGAAGGTTAGACCCAGGAGAGGAGGAGCAGAAAGGAACTATAGGTTCTGAGGCTGCTTTGCTTCCCCTTTGTCACCAAAATTATTTCCCCATGCGTTCTACACCCTCAAAAACAAACACAAACAGAAGCCATCCTGCATAGTAGTGGAATGAAGAGACCTGGCTTTAATAACAGGCTCTGCCTGACTAGCTGGGTGACCTCAAGCAATTCACCTATAAAATGGGGATACCTCCACCTACTCTACAGGTTTTATACATCACATAGTGGCAACATAACCAGAAGATGAAGTCTTATTGTCTTTAAAAGGGCGAGGGGAAATTAGCATTGATGATTTTTCCCACAGTGCCAGTCACCTTCATCTTTGCCTCCCTCACATCTTTGACTCCTCTCCAGGACTCATACACAAACACCACACTTTTTTTCTTTCCCTTCCTTCCATCTTCCTATAAGCCCCCTTCCTTCTTTATATAAACTTTGTGCTATCTTCTTTTTTTCTTTCCTTCCATCCTGATGGACCATCCTATTCCAAGATGGAATGCATTACCACATAATGAATGCATAACAGCCACAATCCCAAGCTCCAAGTTTCTCACTTAGGTTTACCACCCTAGAAACTTTTTAATGGAAAACCAGGGAAAGAACAGAGGGCTCTCCAATAATTTAAGTTAAAGCATATTTGTGGAGAGAAGCCTGAATCATTCAGACTTTTAGCAAGTATAAAGTTACTCTCCTCTGTGCAGATTTTAGTTTTAGACTGTGACTTAAGTAGGAATGGTACTAAAGCAAAGCTAAGAGAAATAAACATAAATCCATAATCGTTGCCATAATTATGAGACAATATTCTTATCTTGTACAAAGTAGTATAATAAATGATCTCACCTAGCCAAATGTTTCACCGTATAAAACTAAGGGGCCACTATCAAGAATGGAACAATTTGTTCTTTGCCCGTCAGTGGTTGGGCACCATCCACAGTTAGAAAATTCCTTAACAGCTCAGCCAGGGGAATCAGGCCGATATTCAAAGTATGCAACCTCGAAGACTGGGTGAGGTGAGCCTGCCCACTCCAATACCTTTAGATGGAACTTAAATCATTCAAGAGACTCATTAAAAACCTCCAGAATTTCTTATAACAGTACCTAATAATCCTTACCTTGATATGTAAACTCTCTTCTTTTAAGCATTTGTTCATCATTTATGAAGTCACAGTGCCAAGCCTAATGCTACAATTCAATTCAGAATTTAACCTGCACCCAACACCGATGAAGTACATAGGGGGTTGGGATAATACATAAACTTGTAAGACACAATTTGCTTTTAAAAAGTTTCACCTTCGGGCTTTGGGAAATAGATGTAACTAGCCATACTTATTATTTACTTTCTGACAAGGACTGGTCTAAATTACACATAACTACCTTCATCTAACTAGATTAGGTACAGATATCTTTCAAATAAGCAAAATGAGACCCAGGAAGTAATTTGCCCAAGGTCACACACAAACAGCTAGTAATTGCTGGAGGGCAAAGCAAGATCACCTGCAGGAAAGAGCAAGCAGGTTCTTTGGCAACAACTAAAGATGTTTTTGGAACACCCTTCCACAGCACGTGTGCCCGCATGACTCCCCCCCACCCCCACCCCGGTTCTGTGTGCATGTTCTTTTTCTAACTCCAAAGTGGCATTAATTTTAACACAGTGTTTCCGAAAACCTACACAAGATACTTGGCCATTTTATTCATGAAAACTAGTCCCTTTAGAAGAAATGTTAACAATATGAAACACAGGAGGAGAGGTGAGATCATCTTCCATCTAATTTATTTGTGCTTTCATACAAGAGTTATATGGTGAGTGTAAACAGAACCACGAGCTTCCAGGAGATTGAGTTTGAATTCTTATTTCTATGGCTGAGCCTTTAAAATGTCCACTTGGGCCAAAATCGGTTTGGCTCAGTGGATAGAGCGTTGGTTTGCGGACTGAAAGGTCCCAGGTTCGATTCCGGTCAAGGGCATGTACATTGGTTGCGGGCGCATTCCCGGTGGGGGGTGTGTGAGAGGCAGCTGGTCGATGTTTCGCTCTCATTGATGTTTCTAGCTCTCTATCCCTCTCACCTCCTCTCTGAAAAAATCAATAAAAATATATTTTAAAAAAATTTTTTTTAAATGTCCACTTGAGATACTTCCAGTCCCAAGGCTGAAAAATGATGAGTGTGTTTATGTTAGGGAACTCCCCCATCCCCTCCCCAGCCAACTGAATCTAAGATCCCTGGAACCATGACTAAAGAATTCTACCCTGACCCTTTAATACATGCATACCCCCCATTCAGGTCGTTATAGAAACTCAGATATTTATATGAAAATATTTCACATTATTATAAGTATTTAAAATGCACTGAAAATTAAAAAGGACAGAGCAACTCCACCTTATCCAACATATTAATTTATTAAGAAAATCAAGCTAGAGTGGGAGTAGAACCTCATAATCAAAGATTCCTAGTTTAGCCAAAACCCATTTGGCTCAGTGGATAGAGCATCGGCCTGTGGACTGAAAGGTCCTGGGTTCGATTCCGACAAGGGCATGTACCCTGGTTGCAGGCACATCCCCAGTGGAGGGTGTGCAAAAGGCAGCTGATCAATGTTTGTCTCATTGATGTTTCTAACTCTCTATCCCTCTCTCTTCCTCTCTGTAAAAAATCAATAAAATATATTTTTTTAAAAAGATTTATAGTTTAGTCATTTGATAGAATGTGACAATGGACCAATAAATCCATCAGATCATTACTTTACGGTAAAATGAGAAATGGTTGCAAATCGATGGAACTGTTGTAAGAAATTAAATATTCTGTGTATGTATGCACGTATATAGAATGTAACTTTTACTATAAATACTAAAAGTTAAATTTATTTCAAAAAATACAAAGCATAAGTGACAAAACTAACACCTTTTATTTCTGGGTGATGGGTACAGGTAATGTTTATAGTTTCCTATATTCCTTTAAATTTTTCAAAATAAAGAAATAAAAACGTTGTTCTCATCTACTTTTAATACAAAATACACATGTAAGGAAATCTTACGCAGTGAACCTTTATCAAATAGACCACATGCTTTCACAACAAAACCTTGAACAAATTCATATATATATATATATATATATATATATATATATATATATATATATATATATTAGAATGCAGACATAAGAATCACAGAAATGAAAGAGACCTCAGAAATCAAATCTAATCCTCTTCCTTTTCAGACTAGGAACTGCTTGAGTGCCTTTTCAAAGTTATATCCAACTAGTTAATATCAATCCCATCAGAAACACCCCAATCCTGGCTCATGAAGTGGTCTTTAGTAAGTACAACATTTGAAAAACGATTTTGTTTTTGTATTTTAAAGTCCAATTTTATGGCACAATTTTACAATGCAAACTTAGGCTATTTGATTTTCTGTATTCAGCTGAATTGGTTTTGTAAAAACACTGGCAAGCTTGACTTCGTGAACTAATGATTACATTGACTTCCAAGCACAAAGTTGAGATTTTAGCACACACAGAAATCAGTTAAGTGGCTCAAGAGAGTCCTTACCATTTGATGTGAATCCAAAAGGTATGAAAGCATAGACTATTATCTTTACTCAAAAGTATGTAAAGCACCTGGGAAATTAAGAATTTCTCAATTTGAACAAATGAATTGGTGTTATAATGGAAACATTACTTAAAAGTTTATCTTTGGGCCCTGGCAGGCAAGACAGTTGGTGAGAGCATTGTCCTGATATGTAAAGGTTGTAGGTTTGACCCTGGTCAGGGCACAAACAAGAAGCAACCAATAAGTGCATGAATGGACGGAGCAACGAGTTGATGGTTCTCTATCTCTCTCTCTAAAAATCAATAGTAAAAAAAAAAAAAAAAAAAAAAAGTATCTTTGGAAAATTATTCATACTGGTATATAAAAAAAGACATACTTGATGAAAATGGGGCTCTGTAATAAATCTGAAAAGTCCAAGGCTGATCATAAATTCCTGTGCTGATTAAGGTGGTAGTCACACCCCAGGCATATAGCTTCTTCAGAAAAAAGGTTTACCTTTGCCTTACGTAAGCCCTGTCCATTGTTCTTGTGCTTCTAGGTTAACACACCTTTAAAATACCAAAGCATTCCTCTTTTTCAGACTCCTCTGAGGCATAACCACCCTCAAGAGAGCACATCATTTTTCTTGTAATACAATCCCTATCTTGCTTTCTCTAATCTTCATGTAATATTCCTTATTTCCAAATACACAAAAGAAACTGCAAAGTATAATTCTTGGAGCATTTGAGATCTTGCTTCCTGACATATTGTCAAAACATTTGGCTCAAATAACTCCTTTAAAAATCTCATATATGCATACCCCATGGACATGGAAGGTAATTTGGTAAAGGCCAAGGAAGAAGGAGGCCAGGGAGGGTGGAGGTGGGGAAAGGGTGGGGAGGGGGACTCTGCAATAATGTCAATATTAAAATTTTTAAATAAATCTCTATAGGTACGTTGACATACTTGAATGTTTGAATTGCAGACTGATGATCAATTTACAGATTCAAAATATTTCCACAAAAACATAGTTCTAAATTGGAGGGATAATCACAATTAACTTGGCTAGTGACATGCTCAGTATTATCAGCTAGTTTTACTTTACTAATAAAAATCTGAATGAAAAGGAAGTGCTGAGATTTTAGAGCAAATGAATTGGCTTCCTTATTAACAGATTGGGAAACAAACAACCATCATAATACCCAAAGGAGTTTAAAACAATAACAGATATAATTGCTGAGTGTAGTTTAGCAAAGCTTAAAATTAACAGCACTAATGACATCAAACAGGTCTATTATAGAAAGAAAACACCTGGTTTAATATCTTATAAAATATGTACAGAACTTGAAAATTCCTGTAAGAAACATTTCAAGTCACAACTGAATTATAAATGTAATCAGGTACTCTGATATAATGAAAGCGCCTAGATAGTTTAAAAAAAAAAAGCATGTAAACCATAAAAGATTAAAAAGTATTTTAAAATATACACAATAAAATTCTAGCCAGTGGTTTTAAATTTTGATTTTTAAAAAGTAAATATATATTTACAATCTTTAAATTTCACAAGTTGTTACTTTTATATGGTCTTTATTACCAAGATAACATAAAACAATAAAAAGTTCTTTTAACCATTTACACACAGAAAACAAAAATCAATAGGGAAGTTGGTAGAATGTAGTATCAGTAGATACGAACGGTTAGGGACTTTATTAATGGAGTCATAAAACAACTTAACCAAAACTACAAGTTAGGAAACAAGTGGTTTCACTTCATTGCAGGGACCCAGTTTCCTTATATGAAAAGGAATGATTATAAATAACAGCTATGTGAAGGGAGGATTCTGGGAGGATTCAATGAGATTACCTATTGGAACTAATGAGGCACTAAGACATGACTGCCTAGGGCATGAAAGTTCACGGCACAGTACACTCAGCAACCTTCCTGAAAGGTTTAAAAACTTCAAACAACAGTTCTTAATATCAGAACCAATGTTGACAGCATTAAATCCTTAATTGGAGTGTTCAGTCCAGTTGATTATCAAAAGCTATTTATAAAATGCTTCAATACCAATGATATTAAAGCTACCAAAACTTTGTCATGACCACAAAGGTTTGGCCTCTCTGGTTAGAGTCCAAAGTCATTTTGCATGCTGACACCACCGCAGAGATGTCAGACACTTCTCAATCACTCAAACAATCTGGAATTTGCTTTCTGTTTTCCCTCTGTCATAATCTCCAACCATCTTCTTGATGTGGGACAACTTGCTCTTCAACTGCTTGCAATAATTCCTCTTATTTTTGTAATCTGCAGACTGAAAAGGAAAAAAAAATATGAACCAGGTAAATTTAACAAAATAAAAATGATTAGCTGCTGGGAAGGCAAGGTCAACTAAAAAAGGGGGACTATTAGTCACCAGAATTGTTGGGAGTGTTAAATGATGTAACATGTTACATAAGGCACCGGGCACTATCTCAAACCAGAGAGGCAGTTGATGCTCTTTGCTGAACAACATCTTCTAACCTGAGTTTTTAAAATGATATTTGAATTTCTAACGATTTGTAAAGTAACCAAAAAAACAAACAAAAAAAACCCACAACCCAAAACTGGGAAAAACCAATATGGCAGCATAAGTAAACACCTGAAATTGCTGCCTCACACAACCACTTCAAAACTACAACTAAAAGACAAAACAGACATCATCCAGAACCACAGAAAGACTGGCTGAGTGGAAATTCTACAACTAGAAGGGAAGAGAAAAGCACACTGAGACTCAGAGGAGTTGCGGAAATAAAGTGCAGAGGTACGGAGGCATGCGCGTGGAAAGGGCTGGCAACTGAGGATACTGTTGTCTTTTTCAGTCGGGAGGGAGACACAAACTCCTGACTCCTCTGAACTCCAGTTCCGGGCAAGAATCTGGGGATCCAGACTCATATGGGGAGAAATTGGACTGTCTGGCATCAGATGGAACTCAAGGACAGCTTCCTCTCAGAAGTGCTTGCAACAATTACCGATTACCGTGGGACCTGAGAACCTGGGGACCTCTTTGGGCAGGACTGAGGATCAGCCATAGCTGTCTGCTCTGCCCTGTTAATTCCCTGAGACCCCACTCCACCCACGCTGTGTGCAGAGGCTTTTGCATATGAATGGCCTGGCCCTTTGCAATCTAAAATTACCTTACAAACTGCAGCTAGATCAGAGAGACACAGAACATCCAAAAGAAGGCCCAAGGACACCCACAGCAGCTTGCATTGCTTCACAGCTGGGCCTCATCTGGGCACCTCTAAACCCCAAACAAAGAAGAGGAATCTGCAGTTCTCTCCATAGCTCCTGCTGGGTGGCCTCAAGCAGAGGCTAAATTAGCACCTCCTTGGAGATCCAAGGGCCAGTGTACCCAGGGGTCAGAGTAGGACCATCCAGATTACAACTCCTCAGATCCATAAAGGACACACTCAGGGGGCAGACTCAGTGAGCACCAAAGCCCCACTGAAGCAAGGCTTGTCTCACAAGGGTGTCTCCAGCACAGAAGTTCTCCCATCATAGATACAACTGATCCTCACAGCCAATTAAAAATATTATCTTACTTTTGCACCCAGAGCTACTTGTTTTAGCTTCATGAGAAGTGCTTTGTCTGAGGTAGAATTTCAGGTATTTACCACTAGACCAGTGGTCAGCAAACTCATTAGTCAACAGAGCCAAATATCAACAGTACAACGATTGAAATTTCTTTTGAGAGCCAAATTTTTTAAACTTAAACTTCTTCTAATGCCAATTTTTCAAAACAGACTCGCCAAGGCTGTGGTATTTTGTGGAAGAGCCACACTCAAGGGGCCAAAGAGCCACATGTGGCTCTTGAGCCACGGTTTGCCAACCACTGGGTTAGAGCATCATCCCTGTATGCCAAGGTTGCAGATTCAGTCCTGGGTCAGGGCACATACAAAAAGAAACCAATAAATGCATAAATAAATATTTCTCTCTCTCTCAAGTCAATCAATAGTTTTTTAGAGAGAAATCACACATACATGGTTCCATTTTTTTTATGGTTCCATTTATAGAAAGTTCAAAACAGGCAATATTAATCTGTGATGTTAGAGGTGAGAATGGTGGTTACCTCTGGAGAGAGCAAAAATTGTAAGAAAGTACAGAAGGGCATTCTCAGAGTTACAAGGAAATTTCTTGATCTGAGTGCCAGGTACAAAGGTATGTGGTTGCTTTGTGAAAATTTACCAACTTGTACATTTATGATGTGTACTTGTATGTATGTATACTTCAACCTTTAAAAAAGTTTTTAAAAATCAGTATTGGTGATAGATCCAAACAACTTAAACTGAGGTTCCAACTTCTCAGTTATAGTTTATCTGGCAACTATTGGGCCTTCTGTCTATAATCAGTACATGCATGACAAGGTATTCTAAAGGTTAAAGGAAAAACATGCAACAGAAAAATTATTCCTTGGAGAATCTTACAAACTGGGATACTTACTCCCTTAACTTGCTTCAGTCTATTGTATTCATCAGCAGCAGCCTATTAATGAGAAACACAAGAGAATATGTTTAATGGGCATTTCTATGTTCAAAAATAACATCACTGATGCTATAATTTGAAGCTAAAGATGCAAAAAACACAGGAAATTAAAATAATGACGTTTTAAAGCTCTTAAAACTATTATGGTCAGCAGGAGGCCTGAGGAAGCTGGTGAAGAGAAACTTTTGACATATTTCTTAGTTCTTACATTCCATTCACATAGGCAGGTAACTATTTTGCTGCCTCTCATCTTTCCTGATGCCAGTCCATGTGCCACGCTGACACCAGAGAAGTCTGTTCCATCATGTCATACAGTGTTATACAAGTTGTCAGAGCTCCCCATTAACCTCTCTACTGATCTAGTCTCCTAACTATTCAGTTTTAACATTCATCATTTGCAATTCCTTTTAATTACAAATTAAACAATTAGTCATGTTAATGCTTCCAGATTTCTATCATGTTCTCCCTAAAGCTGTACTCATGTACCCATCCCTTATTTTGCCCAAAGAATCTATAATGGTTACCTCTCAGTGAAGCTTCTCCTAAACTCTTTAGTCCTTCAGCAGATCCAATTCCTTCTCTCAGCAGTTATTTATAGTACTTTCTACATATAACATGAGTATGACATTAGTCACATTGTCTAGATTGTTTAGCTATTAAGTTTCTCTCTTGGATATGAATTCTTTGAGGGCTGACACAGGATTTTATTTACCTAACTTCCATACTTCTACATTAGGGCATAATAATGATCAGTACTGTTTAATGAATTGATGAAAGTTTATGACAACACTATAACACCAGACAAAAGCAATAAAAGAAGAGACCAAAAAACAAAAGACCAATAAAACTAAGAGCTGGCTCTTTGAAAGGATAAATAATATTGATGAACCGCAGCCAGGCTCACCAAAAAACACAGAGAGAGGACCCAAATAAACAAAATCAGAAATGAAAGAGGTGAAGTAACAACTAACCCCACAGAAATACAAAGGATTGTAAAAACATACTACAAACAACTCTACTCCAACAAACTGGACAAACTAAATGAAATGGACATATTCTTAGAAAAATACAAGCTTCCAAAACTCACTGGGGAAGAAAAAAAAAAACTTGAATAGGCTGGTAACTACGATAAATTGAAGTAGTAATAAAAAATCTTCCAGCAAACAAAAGCTCTGGTCTGGACGGCTTTACAGGGGAGTTTTACCAAACATTCAAAGAACTAAAAAATTCAAGACTAATCCAAAAAATTCAAGAGGAAGGCACACTTCCAAGCTCTTTCTATGAAGCCAGCATTACCCTAATTCCAAAACCAGATAAAGACACTACAAAGAAAGAGAATTACAGGCCAATATCCCTGATGAACACAGATGCTAAAATCCTCAACAAATTCCTAGCAAATCGGATCCAGGATTACATTTGAAAGATCATACACCACCGAAGCCGGTTTGGCTCAGTGGTAGAGCGTCGGTCTGCGGACTGAAAGGTCCCAGGTTCGATTCCGGTCAAGGGCATGTACATTGGTTGCAGACACATCCCTGGTAGGGGGTGTGCAGGAGGCGGCTGGTCGATGTTTCTCTGTCATCAACGTTTCTAGCTCTCTCTCTCTCTCTCCCTTCCTCTCAGTAAAAAAATCAATAAAATATATTAAAAAATAAAAATAAAAAAATTGATGCAGAAAAAGCATTTGACAAAATCCAATACCCTTTCTTGATAAAAACTCTCAGCAAAGTGGAAATAGAGGGATCATACCGCAACCATATATGATAAACTCACAGCTGATATCATACTCAATGAGCAAAAGCTAAAACCATTTCCCCAAAGAACAGGAAAAGACAGGGATGCCCACTTTCACCATTCCTGATTGATATAGTACTGGAAGTGCCAACCATAGCAATCAGAGAAGAAGAAAGAAAAAGCATCCAAATTGGAAAAGTAAAATTGTCATTATTCGCAGATGACATGATATTGTACATAGAAAACCCTAAAGACTCCATCAAAAAAACTATTAGACTTAATAGTTGAATTTGGCAATGTAGTAGGATACAAAATTAACACCCAGAAATCTATGGCTTTTTTATGCATCAATAATGAACTCACAGAAAGAGAAACTAAAACAACAATCCCGTTTACAATTGCACCAAAAAATTAAGATACCTAGGAATAAACTTAACTAAGGAAATAAAAGACCTGTACCTTCCCCTACCTAACTTCTGAGGGAACCATCTGATCGATGCTTCTCTGTCTCTGGATCTGTTTTTGTTCATCAGTTTATGTTGTTCATTATAATCCACAAATGAGCAAGATCATGTGATATTTAACTTCCTCTGACTGACTTATTGATTGACTGCCTCCTGCACATCCACTACTGGGGATCAAGCCTGCAACTCAGGCATGTGCCCTTGACCAGAATCGAACCCAGGACCCTTCAGTACACAGTTATCCATTGAGCCAAACCAGGTAGGACAAGATCCTTCCTTTTTACAGCAGCATAGTATTTCATTGTGTAAATGTACCACAGGTTGTTGTTTTTAAAAATATATATTTTATTGATTTTTTTTTTCAACAGAGAGGAAGGAAAAGGGATAGAGAGTTAGAAACTTCAATGAGAGAGAGCCATCAATCAGCTGCCTCCTGCACACTTCCTACTGGGGATGTGCCTAACTCAGGTACATGCCCTTGACTGGAATCAAACCTGGGACCTTTCAGTTCATAGGCCAAAGCTCTATCCACTGAGCCAAATGTATAAATAAGATATCCACAAACCCTTACTGAAAAGTGATGGACTAAATAAATTTTAAAAATGGGAGAAGTGACCCATTTCCCATGCAGAAGACTTTCGAATAATTTGTGTAGGTACACCTCCGTTGGAGAGCTGGAGCATTAGTCTCCATTTCTTAAAGTGTGGTCAATTGTATGTTATGGAAAGGGGCATTCCAACGGAAGGAGTAACTTTACATAGATAAATACTACCTCTGCCAGGTGACCGACGAAGAAACAAACTATAAACTATTTTTGAGTAAAAATACAGGAGAGAGATAGGTAAAACATAGATGATTCCTTATCAAAGACTGCGTGTGTGTAGGTGCACTTCTACAGAGAGGGGTATTTAACAACCCATTTTTGGTGATAAACAGGTGGTGGAAATTAAGGAATTTAGGCAATTCTGTATTGTTTGAATTCTTTACATAAAGAATGAACTGGATGTATAAACAGAAAAAGTGCTATAGTTAATTTCTTTTAAAGAGAAAGGGATAATATATGTAGACTATTGCTTTGTAATTCTTAACTAAATTAGTATTAGTATACTCTTCAATTTGGAAAGACTTGCATCCAAGATTCAATTTCAATTATTCTTCAATGAAATTACAGTTTTATAATTACTAACAAATTTTGTATTAACATTAGTATAAAGGATACTGGATCCCCATAGTATATGTAATATATAATTATCATATTTGAACTTACCATGTACTCTTCGCTTTCTTCTCTGTAATCGTCCAATTCCTTATCCAGACGAGAGAGTTCTCTATTGACCTCATCAAGTTCTGCTTGTAAGCGCTTGTATTCCTGCAGGCCAGTGTCAAAACTTCTCTTATAGACTTGTCTTTGTTGATCTGAAGTGATAGGTGGATATTCCCTAAAAATGGAGTGAAAAAATGACTAGGTGCCCTTTAGCAGACATAAAATCCAGTGTTTCTTCCTCAAAGATAATAGGGTTGATGGGATGTGGAGAATGACATTCTTCTTTTTATAGCTGATGGGGAGAGGAAGATGGGCTACAACTAGTTCTCTTAAGAAGAACTATACTTTATACATCACTAGTCATGTTTTATGTATTTTTTTAAAATAAAAACTATTCCTACATAATTTTGGGAAATAAGTTAAAAGTAACTTATGAGCCGAAACCGGTTTGGCTCAGTGGTGGAGCGTCGGTCTACGGACTGAAGGGTCCCAGGTTCGATTCCGGTCAAGGGCATGTACATTGGTTGTGGGCACATCCCCGGTAGGGGGTGTGCAAGAGGCAACTGGTCGATGTTTCTCTCTCTCTATCTCTCTCCCTTCCTCTCTGTGGATCAATAAAATATATTTACAAAAAATAATAAAAACTTTAAAAAGAATAAAAAAGAAAAAAAAGTAACTTATGAAATTTAAGGTTCAAGTTCTAAGAACTCACTTATTCTGCACATACAACACGATAATGCAACTTATGTTTAACGTCTAAGAATTGGTATTCTGGCACCCGAGGTGTGTTGTGGTCATTGTGGGGACAGGGCAGCCCACTGGCAACTGGCTGTTTTCCGCTACCTCCTACCATTTCCAGACTGTTTAGGGTATGGGTTGGTGTGTTTTTTGTTGTTGTTGTTGTTGTTTATTTTTTATCTTGGTCTTGTTTTTCCTAAGTGGAAATAGCTTATTTTAAGTTCTTTGATGATAAAAGTAGACTTTAAAATGTCCATGTATAAAAATGTATGCTCGCTGTACAAATAATCTGGCAATGCACTGAACTATGAAAAAAAAAGCCCTGAGATTCTGAATCACTGTATCTCTCAATATAGCAGCTGTTCTTTACACATGCAGGCAATGCTGTTCATCCCTAATCCACGGAGGAAATACTGAGTTGTTTCACAGAACTACAGATCTTCTTAGGAATATACAATTTCAAATTTTAGACCTATGTCAGCCTAATACCTTCATTTTGCAGAGAGGATAAATTAAAGGATTTGCTCAAAACGGAAACAAGAATCCAGAATTTCTAAAAGTTTTCATTTAAATCTTCTATGATATAAGTTAAGCAAATATTTCACAGGTAGATGGCTGAGCTAGGCCAAAAAACCCTTAAGGAGAGAGGGGAAACGAGGTCTGAAAAACCCTAGTGTGTAGGGGATTTCAAACCATACACACACCACACATCCCTAACACCTTGAGAAGCAATGTTTTCATTCATCACCATTCACACCACAAATGTTTCTGATTTGAGTCCCATTCCTCAAAATACTTGGGCATAAAAGGGCTACATCAAACACGAGTATAGCTGGTGCTGATGGATGGCCTATAACAAAACTGTTGACACACACAGGAAACAAAAGGAACTTAACCTCAATCTTGGCCAGAACACTAAATTGCTAACAACTGTTTATAGAACTGTTTTCCAAAATCCTTTGGATAAACTTTTAAAAGAATCTCTGGTGTCATCGTGGAAGCTTAAAAATGCCAAAGCAGAGCCACGGCACGAGCCTGGGAAACTTATAATCAGTAAACTGAAGTTCCTCTATGCGTGTATGTAATTTATTCAAAGGCCTTTCTTGAGTCATTATTGACAAAAGTAAGAGTCCTGGTGAAATTTATCAGCCATGCGTGGGGGCCACATAAGACATGATTACAGCCAAACATATCCCCTCCATGGTCCACCTTCATCACCGACGAGTACTAAGAAAACAAAACCTAAAAGACCAATCTCCAGTCCTGGTTGGCCAAGAGTGGAATTATACCCCAGTTTAGGATGCAACAGCTCCCCAACGCCAATATCAAATGTGCAGGTGGCTCCCACAAGAGAGGCGCCGCGTACCTGATCCAGTCCTCCTCCAGCTCATCGCAGGACTCGCCGCCCGTCGTGTAGTCGGTCTCGTAGTGGTCTTGCTCCGGCCTCTTCGGCTTTCCCGGCCTTCTCTTTGTGGGAGCCCTTTTGGACGGTGTCTCAAAGTTGCCATCGCTGCTGTAATGAGGCTGCCTGAAGTCATCCACCGGGGAAGTCACCGGCAGCTCCTGCACAACTTCTGGCACCCTAACAAACAGGGACGTGTTCCCAGTGATCGCTGGGCACCCGGCAGGCCTCTGCCAGGGCGCTGCCAGCACAAAGAGCAGCAACGGTAACTGTTAGATCTGCGTGGAGGTGCCTTCACTCGAGCGGCTCATAGGCTCAACACGGAGGGGCCCCCCTGGCATCCTGCATTCAAGGTAGCACCAGGTCAGATCCTCTAATACACACGAGAAGATTTAAGGTTCCTGTGTAAGAGGAGCCCAGCTGTAAACCTTTTAAGTAAAATGGATCTAAGTTTTCATTTAATTTAGGCTGGTCTGGAAGACACGTGTGCCTGACTTGGCTGAGCTGGGGATCTACTCCACGAAAGGCTGCCAGGAGAACAATGGCCATGATCCCTTTCCACACGCTCTTTGAGTTCCATGGCATGCTGAGTAGAGAAGAGGGATGCACACGCAACTCTACCTTTGGAAACTGACTCACAGAGATAGGCCTTGGTATTAATCTTAGACTCCTTTGTATCAATTTCCTTTTCAAGACATCTCAAAAAAAACTAAAAATTAAAAAAACAAAAACTGAAAAGCTTTATACAGTAACAGATGAAAAGGCTCATTTAGACTTCTTTTGTAAAATTGCTTTGTTAATCCTGAAGCCACATAGAATGAATGGAACAGAGGAGTTACCATTACACTTTTCTTTTTTAAATATATTTTTATTGATTTTAGAGAGAAAGGGGGCGACAGAAACATCAATGGTGAGAATTATTGATTGGTTGCCTGCTGCATGCCCCCTACTGGGGATCAAGCCCACAACCCAGGCATGTGCCCTTGGCTGGAATCAAACCTGGAACCCTTCAGTCCCCAGGCTGACACTCTATCCACGGAGACAAATAGGCTAGGGCTACCCTTATTTTTCTGATGCAATTGCTCAGTATTGAATCAGACTTTTCATTGCCCATAATGTTTCAGCCACAAGCTTACAGCTGAAGCCTAACATGGAATAAAATACCCAGAGCTACGGCAACCGTGTCCCACTTCTGAGTAACAGAAACGCAAAGCTTCCCTTTCACCTGTAGCCAAGCTGGAGAAGGGCAAGAGAAAGGAAAGGAAGGCAAGGAAAGCACCTGAGACTCCCCAACCTCAGCCTTGCTGTTCAAACCAACCACTAAAGGTGCTTGAAGATTTTCACTTATTTCTTTCAGCTTACCATAACTGTAATCCTGAGTGTTATCTACAAGGTTTACTCTCTTTCCTAGGTGACCAGAACTGCCTGACTCTGTTGTCAAAGTCTAAAGGTGTGTATGTGTTTGTAGTTGGGGGTGGCCGTATATTTATTTTTTCTTTCCAAATTTATTCAGGTTAGCATGGCTTTATGTGCTAAGTGAATGCTACCTCTAAAGGGAGGGAAAATGTGACTTTCTCCATGAGTTAATAATTAAACAAGTTCCTAGACACATTGCCAAAATTGCCAGGCACCATGCATGCTTCTTGCTTTGCGGTGACAAACAAAACCTTTAGCACTCATTGGCTTTGAGAGGCCGAGCGCCAGGCGGGAAGGAAACGAAAGGGCAAGAGAAATTAGAAAAAAAGGAAACATTAAAGCAGGCTTCCCCCTAATTTTTTTATTAGTATTGATATTATAAATCTTTACCTTGGAAGTTTTCCAACTATCCTCTTCCCACACCCTTTAAAATACTAAACAGTAACATACTTAATATAGCATAAAAGCTAAGAATAATTTGCTTAGTAGTAAAAGAATATATAAATTTAAGAACTAGGGAATATGTGTACTCTCGATGATCTTCTAACCTACTTTTTAAAAAATATATATTTTATTGATTTTTTTTTTACAGAGAGGAAGGGTGAAGGATAGAGAGCTAGAAACATCAATCAGCTGCCTCTTGCACACCTCATACTGGGGATGTGCCCACAACCAAGGTACATGCCCTTGGCCGGAATCGAACCTGGGAACCTTCAGTCCACAGGCCGACGCTCTATTCACTGAGCCAAACCAGTTAGGGCTTCTAACCTATTTTTAGATGCAAGTAAGATTAGGTCAAAATACACATAACTCAGAACAGTAACCAGCAGCACACTTTCCTCAGTATCCAACTCAGTCTCCCAGGTCTGGAAGTGCCCCTTTTGTAGCTTTTGGGTTGTTCCTTCTTACTCACTTGCTTTATTCTCTCCCACACACCCTCACATGCCTTTGCTGCTATCTTGCCATGACTCTCAATGTAGTCATTGTGTACTTTCTTCCGCCCTGTCAGTCTGCCACCTCCACGAGAGTATGGACTTGGTATTCCCAGGACAGCTGGCCCAGGACTGTGTACATGGCAGGTGTTCAAGGTAATTACTCACCTAAAAGCAGTCACATGAGTCCTGTTTCTGATGACACCCAGTATCAATGGGGGAGAAACAATGCATAATTAATACCCGTGTCTCAACTGTCAGAATGATATCCATTGTTTTTCTGGTGACCCCAAAAAAATGTTCACACACTTTTTTTCTGATAGGTCAGCTGATGTTTTTTTACTTCTCAGATTTAACTCATTGGAATGACTATTCAGTATATACGGTATACATTTTGGGGGGACACCCTATATATGGTGTTTAGAATGGTCACCATTAATTGGGGGGCGGGGGGGAGGATAACTAATCCTTGCTAATCACAGAATTTCATCTTCCTGACCGTGGGATGACAATGATCCAAAAGGCCAGTCAGAATATTTTTTAAAGTATATTTTATTGATTTTTTTTCTTTTTACAGAGAGGAAGAGAGAGGAAAAGAGAGTTAGAAATATCAATGAGAGAGAAACATCAATCAGTTTCCTCCCGAACACTCCCTACTGGTTATGTGCTGCAACCAAGACACGTGCCTTTGACTGGAATCAAACCCTTGAGTCCACAGGCTGACGCTCTAGCCACTGAGCCAAACCAGTTAGGGCCAATCAGAATCTTTCCAATAGACTGATATGCAAGCTTTGGCGGGGCGGGGGGGGGGGGGGGGTGGAGGTGTTCCTTTTTTTAAATATGTATTTATTGATTTTAGAGAGAGAGGAAGGGGGAGAGAAAGAGAAGAGAGGAGGGAGGGAGAGAGAAAAGCATTGATTGGTTGCCTCCCACAAGCACCTGCAACTGGGATCAAACCTAAAACTTGGGCATGTGCTCTAACTGGGAGTGGAACAAGCCACCTTTCAGTGCATAGTACAATGCCCAATCCACTGAGCCACACCTGCCAAGGAGGAATTTTCTGATGGGAACTTGGATAACCCATCCTGTTCCAAGGGAAGCTGTACTGAGAATAAAGACAACGTAGTGACAAGAGCCCTGATATCTTCTGGGCCCTGGATATGCCATGCCTGACACAGACCCATCCCTGGGCCAGTGAATTCCTACGACTTGCATCAAAATCCTAACAGATTACTCCATCAGCCTATTTGCTACCACCAAACAACGGGCTGTCTTACTTGTCGCCCTAGGGTGTCATCCTGCCTTGAAAGTTCTCTGTAGTGTCCACACTTAGCTCCCTTGGTTTATTAGGGTTAATTCACCCCGGGTGTGGACAGGACACGAGGGAGTGTACCTAACAGGGCTCTCCCAATGCCCTTAGGAAGGGTCAAGAGGCAACCACCTTCTGCTGTCACCTAATCCAGGATTAATTCCATCTACTCTGAAATTCTAACGCACAGGACATTAAGATGAAGAGGAGCCAGACACGAGAGTATGTTTATGATTTCATTAAATAAATACTCCATGGTGATAGGCATCCAAATAGGGAGGATGACAGAAGGACACCAGAGATGCTAGAGACGTCTCTCTTGGTGCGGTGGTGATGACTTCAGTGTTCTTCTGTAAAAATTCATCAGTCTGGCTGAAACCAGTTTGGCTCAGTGGATAGAACATCAGCCTGTGGACTGAAAGGTCCCGGGTTCAATTCCGGTCAAGGCCATGTACCTTGGTTGCGGGCACATCCCCAGTGGGGGATGTGCAGGAGGCAGCTGATCGGTGATTCTCTCTCATCGATGTTTCTAACTCTCTATCCCTCTCTCTTCCTCTCTGTGAAAAATCAATAAAAAAATTTTAAGAAATTCATCAGTCTGTATATTCAAGATTAGTGCCCTTTACTGAGTGTACATTATGCTTTTGGGGGAAGAAAATCTTAGTGTTGAGGAACCGTGGACCTCAGACACAATGCTCCCATTCTAACACCGTCTCTGCCTACCAAAATAGCAAGGAGGAGAGCTGCTCATGGGCTCTCAGCACCTCAGGAAGCCTGCGGAAACACAGACTATGACTCAATGTGCACCTCTCCCTCCATGGCCGCCGCACTCTCAACCCGCCACAGTCAACACTCGACAATTTCTATTACTCCCCGGAGGCGGCCAGTCTCTTCTTCCATCACCACCGCACACATCAGGTGCTGCGCTGTGGGATTCGCTGTCATGTTCATATCCCTTAGCACCATTCCCATCCTCCCACTCTGGGTTCTAAAATTAATCATCACATTTGCATTGCCAAGACCTTCAAAAAAGTTCCAGGGTGTAGGTTGGGAGTATAAACTGGTACCACCATTATGGAATACAGTTTGACCACATCTATCAAAACGAAATACGCAATTTCTTTTAGTCCAGCAATTCTACTTTTAACATTTTTCCTCCAGATACATTCACATATGTGCAAAGTGATAAATGTGCAAGTTTATTCCCTGCAGCGGTTTGTAATCTCAAAACATTGGGGGACAATTGTGCATCGATATGGGAATAACAAAAGAAGTTACTGCTGAAATATTATGCTATGAAATAGCATAATATTTCAGCAGTGAAATAGCTATGAAATAGATCAGTAAACTCTTTGTATACCAAATATGAACATTCTCCAAGATACAATGCTAACAAGGCATTTAATATGCTAGTATTTTTTAAAGAAAAAACACACCAATATTCATATTTGGCCAGCATATTTTACTTAAAAATAACCTCTGAAGGATATAAAAGAAACTGGTAATACCAGCTGCCTCCAGGGAGAGGAACCAGAGATCTGTTTTGTCCCTTTTCAGTTTTACTTATGAATGTATTGGCTTACTTAAGAATAAGTAAGATTTTTAAATTGATCTAAATGAATTTAAAAATATTTTGGTTTGAAAACATACAACATGTGGGAATGCTATGTAACCATGCAAGTCTTACAATTAATTTAGAAGCATAGCTGGTCACATGCATGATAGGTTTTTGCCTAGGTATGTTTCCAGCTTGCAAACTCTAAGACCCTTGAGTAAATTATTATCATTTATTTCTAGCCTAAGCTTCCTGTTTTTTTTGTGTGTGTATTTATTCAGCACTCTAAATGAGTTCTAATAATCATAGGCAAAAGGAGAGACTGAGAAATGCACTTAGCTTTGCTATCAATCAGGAATGCCCTTATATACCCACACCTAAACTCAAAACCAGAACTAGGGCAGAGAAGCATACTCCTAGCGTGAAAGAACCTAACCCACCTTTACCCATTCAATCATCAGGAGGAAAGCATTTTCCGCTCAGAAGAAGAGAACCCTGCCACACAGTCCCACCTTTCTTACCTTCCAAGTAAGTCTCGGCATCCACCTACCATGCAAAGATCAGTCTCCAGCCTTAATGCAAACTGTTGGATTTTTTTTGTTTAAGGTAAATGGTACAAAACAGTAACAGATTTATAAAAGTGCAAGTGTTTATGTTTTAGACTCATTCTATCAAAAGAAGCTGCTACTCACGGAGTTGATTTATAGGATGATTCCGGATACAACCTCTTGTCATTCACTTTGCCGTTGGAAGAGTAGGCCACGGGACTGTACACCCTGTCCACGTAGTCCGACGGGGGAGGAGGCATGTCCTGTGTGCCTGCGGAGACATTCTTAACCTGCAGAAACAGCCCCAGAGACACAGCTATTAGTTAGCCTGTAATTTAAAGGGGGAAGAAAAAATACATATAAAATGATCTAGTATTTATTGGGCTCATTAAATACGATTAATTGCCTTGTAATTGTCATGATTACCTTGTAATTGGCTGTCAAATCAGTATTTTTACAAACACATAAAGGTGCTATTCCTAGTCTAACAAGTCCAGAATGAATTACAAAGAAGAAAAAAAACCCAACCAATTACCCAATTCTCATCCTGGTGTGTTTAGGTGGAATAATTATCCCTGGTAACTGCCTCTCCCCCATGTTAGGAAGACTAGTCCCATTTTACGTAGGTCAGGTCTGCGTTAGGGTGAGACTTTTCATTTCTAACAAGTCCTAAGGACCACACTTGGAACACCTCTTAGCTAGGGCAAAGGACATTGTTCTTCTTAACCTATTCACCCTAAACATGGACCACTAAAACCACAGAAGAAATTAAGAAGCACAAATAGTCAAAACCGGTTTGGCTCAGTGGATAGAGCGTCCGTCTGCAGACTGAAAGGTCCCCGGTTCGATTCCGGTCAGGGGCATGTACCTTGGTTGCGGGCACATCCCAGTAGGAGGTGTGTAGGAGGCAGCTGATGTTTCTAGCTCTCTATCCCTTTCCCTTCCTCTCTGTAAAAAAAAATCAATAAAATATTTTAAAAAAAGAAGAAATTAAGAAGCACAAACTGATTTCTGCTATAATTCTTTGAGATTTGTGTATTCTCCCTCGAAATACATGCTCAATGGCACTATTACCAATAGCCTGTACAGTACATTCCCATCGTTGCTGTCCCTCTCTGCTCTCCTGTAAGTGAATTTGTACTAAGAAGGAATATATATTAGACATTATGCTTTGTTAACATGAAAGGTTTCCCACCAAACCTTGGGGAGAAGATTTTAAATATAATAAGCATAGACAATTAGATTTTCAACATTGTTAGAGTTCATGAAGCAGAGCCAACACACTTTAAATTTCACCTAAAAAGCTTAGCACAACTGATTAAAAGTAACTGCTAGATTTTGAGTAGTTTCAAAGTAAAGGAATAAAATAAAGCAAAACCGGTTTGGCTCAGTGGATAGAGTGTCGATCTGCGGACTGAAAGGTCCCAGGTTCGATTCTGGTCAGGGGCATGTACGTTGGTTGCGGGCACATCCCCGGTATGGGGTGTGCGGGAGGCAACTGGTCGATGTTTCTCTCTCATCGACGTTTCTAGCTTTCTATCTCTCTCTCTTCCTCTCTGTATAAAATCAATAAAATATATTTTAAAAAATAATAATAAAGCATGGGGGGAAAAACATTAAAAATAACTCCATAGGCCCTGGCCGTAGCTCAGTTGGCTAGTTGTCCCGATAAGCCAAGATGGCAGGTTTCCATCCCTGGTCACATACAAGAATCAATCAATGAATGCATCAATAAGTGGAACAACAATTCAAGGTATTTCTCTCTCTCTCTTTCTCAAATCAACCCATAAATAAAGTTTTAAAACTCCATAAGCTATTTCTGAGAAAAAGAACAACTTTCCAGAATGAATTACAAAGAAGAAAGAAAAACCCCACCAATTACCCAATTATTTCTGAGAAAAAGAACAACTTTTCAAAATTAGGTAGGGCAGGACTACGTTAGCTGGGTGATAGCACCAGACTATCTGGGCTTACTCCAGATCTGCCAACTATAAATTCTAGAAAGCCTCTGTCTGCTCATCTGGAAGAAATGCAAGAACTTCTTACTTCATCAAGTTGTTTTGACAATAAAGTGACACGACAAGGTATCACATTTAGCACAGTGCCTTTAAGAACACAGTAAAAACTGGGAAGATGCTGGGTTTTGGCATTAAAGCCATTGGATCTAAACGAAGAATTGTGTAAGTATTTGAATGTGACAGAAGACGTTTCATTGGATTACTTTGCTATTATGCATCCTTGCAATCGGGCTCAGTGTCAATACAGTGTATTTCCTTGCAACACACCCACTTGACATCTTGTTTCCCAGGGTTATTTCCTTGCAACACACACACTTGACGTCTTGTTTCCCGTTAAGCACAGCATTACAACATGAGCTGTTTGTTCTTTTCCTATCACTGCACTGCCACAGCTTGAAATATTTATTTACCCACCCCTACAAGGCCCTAGAGGTCTCCTTGATTGTTTGATAGTCCTGTGAGTCAGAAAAGAATGGAATCATTTCCTCCTGGAGTGGAGTTGGGCAGCAGCTGGGAAGCCGGTGGGTGGGTTGCCAAGGAGTGTGCTAAGATCCCACCACAGGGGGCGCGGGTGGGAACCATTCTTGGCTCCCCACATGAATTCCTCAGGACTTGACAAAGGCCTATTCTCATTCTGGAGACTTCAGAGTGCAAAAAGGCTTCCTTTTCTTTCAACCCATGTCACACTCCTCCAGGTTCTTTCCCCCTTCACAACTTGAGCAGAGGGCTCAAAGCTTGGAGATTTCCTACGGACTCTGACACTCCAGAAACCAAAACTTGACAAAAGGTGCCTGGGTGTCCCTGTAGAGACTTATTACTGCCTGGAATGGAATGTCCTTCCTCCTTCCTTTGCCAGCTAATCCTTAATTGGGCTTCAAGTCTTGGCTCCCGACCAAGCAGTAGTAATGCCACTACCTCCTGAAGGCCTTCCACCTGTGTCCCTGCTGGGTGAGGCGCCTATCTGTCCTCCCATCTCCTCAAGCACCTGTGCCCACAGACCTCCCACCTACCACTGCGCTTACGCACTGTGGGAACCACTGTTTGCATGCAGTAGAATGGCTTGCTCCCGTATCTCTAACTTCAGTAGGCAGTCGACTGTTCTAAAAGCCTCCACTGTCTGCCTGCTTACCATGTGCCAGACACTGAACTCATGCATTATTTAGTAAGCACAGCCTTAGAGGTAAATACTATGATTCCTTTTTCAGAAACGAGGAAGCTATGGTTCAGAACGCCAGACAATTCCCCAGAGACCTCTGCCTAGTAAATGGCAACGTGGAATTTAAACGCAGGGCTCACTGGAAAGCCTTTGCTACAACCCACCACCTCTCCCGGGGCAGTCCCCTGCCTTCTCTTGGGTCTCCAAAGCCCAGCACAGTACCTGGCACAAACCAGGAACCCAGAGTTTGCTGCACAGAGGTTAACTCACTGCTGCTCTACAGTGTGTACAGCCAAACACCGTGTTAAATGAGCTGCTCTGTGCTGACCTTTGTCTCTTAGCAGGACAGGACTAACTTGTCTACTGACTTCACCATCCAGCAGGTCTTTGGCTACTCAAACCTTTTTTATACGTGTGCACACACAAAATTCCAAGGTACTGTTTGTTTTGGCAGAGCATGTACTAAAATTGGAATATTACAAAAAAAATAAACTCATTAAAAAACCCCTGTCAAGCATGTCAAACACACAATGCAATATACAGGTGATGTATATAGAATTGTACGCTTGAAACCTGTAAGATGTTATTAATTAATGTCCCCCCCAAAAAAATTTTTTTTAATTTATTATTTTTATTGATTTGAGAGAGAAATATCAATTTGTTGTTCTATTTACTTATGCATTCACTGGTTGATTCTTGCATATTCCCTGACCAGGGATCAATCCTGCAACCTTGGTATATTGGGACGATGTTCTCAGCAACTGAGCCACCCAGCCAGGGCTCACCCCAATGCATTTAATTTTTTAAAAATCCCAATGAAGACTCAGAGAAGAATAAGAAGCAGACCATGTCCTTAAAATGAGCTTAAGGGTACAGAGCAATGATTCTCAACCTTCCTAATGCCTGCGACCCTTTAATACAGTTCCTTATGTTGTGGTGACCCCCCACCTTAAAATTATTTTTGTTGCTACTTCATAGCTGTAATTTTGCTACTGTTATGAATCATAATATAAATATTTGTGTTTTCTGATGGTCTGGGGCAACCCTGATAGCGGTTCTCAACCTGTGGGTCTCGACCCCTTTCACGTGGGTCACCTAAGACCATGGAACATGGTGGGTGACCAATGGCAACTGTGGGGCACTGATGGAGTGAGGGAGGCAGGGAACTCTGATTGCCAGCCAAGCCTAGGGACCCTTCCCATGCACAAATTTCATGCACTGGGCCTCTATAATATTTATAAAATAAAGAGTAAGGTCATTTTTTCCCTTTTTATATTTTACTTTTTCTGGGGCGGGGGGGGGGAAGCTAAAAAATACTACTTTTTCTCACAGTACCCATGCAAAATGAGTAAAACCTGATGCCCTCAAAGGACTGGAGAAGGAAGGGGAAAGCCCCAGTGTGGAGTGGCCAGGAATTAGTAATTTCTATAGGGAGTCCTCACCCTGTGCGTCCTATTCGGACAAAAAAGATTTCTGAGCTTCATGGTTATTATTGATAGGATCCCCACCCAGCCAGCCCACAAGACTCAATGATGTAAAGTTGTTTTTTTAATAAAAAACAACCCACACACAAACAAAACCCCGCCATTTTAATCATTGTAATAAATAAAATCTGTTTAAAGTTTTAGAACCTGAGAAAAACTAGGCTTAATTCTAAGCAGCAAATTGTGAACAGTTTTCCTCAAGTAACCTTGGGACTGCTCTGAGCAATCAGAAGCAGAAGTAAAAACACAAATGAAAAAAGACTTGGCTTCTCACTAAGTGCTGAGAGGAAAAGTCTGAGTGCCAATCATTCCAGAAGCCCAAGGCTGCAATTGTTGCTCTGAAGCACAGAGGAGCCTGGGAGGCTACCAGGGCCCCTCCCTCCAGGGCCTTGTGAAGGGGAGGAGGCCCATGTGAAGGGGAGGCAGGGGAGCTGCGGGCAGCAGAAATCCACCCAGCAGGGCCCAGCCAGCTTCCCTTATCTGGGATCTGCCGGAGGAGTCCTGGTCCTAGTGGCACCCAGACCCCATACACAGACTGTAGAAGGGAAAGATAAGGCAACAGAAGGAAAGACATGCTGAGGAAAAAGACACCTAAGCAACCAAAAAACTGATTCAGACTCACTCTGGAGACT